CCCAACCACCCAATGGCATCACAGCAAAGAAAACTAAAGTGGCAATAGCAATTAAGAAACCGACAACGGAAACAGCGTAAGCAGACTTGGAATACAAAACCAATTTAGTGACTTTGAAAGTATAAACTGGTGGAACCAAGTTGGCAAGGAAAATCAAAATCAAAAACATCATACGACGAGTCAAATGTTGAGCACCGGCCCATTCTCTTGGAACAAACATCCATTCGAAAAGGGTAGCAAAGATTTGAACAAGACAAGCAAAAACACCACCAATGGCACAAGCAGCCCATCTAGAAGAAGCAAGTGGTTGTTGGTTTCTGGTTTGGACATAATGTTTAGTATACAAGGTTGGGGAGTTATAAGCAGTATACATCCAGTAGATAGTACCATGGATGATCCAAATTCTATTAAAGTTAGTGATGAAATGTAACCAGGTTCTAATTTCTTTATAGGTTTTAAAGAACACATTCTTCCATTCAACTTCACCTAATCTCAAGAAACGTTCTTCTTGTGGAATATCAACCAATCTGGTTCCGTCTTCAAACATGATTCTAGAAATACCTTCTGGGTACCAGAACAATTGATTAACGTCATCATAACCAATAACCTTATTGTGATCTTTTTCACGTTTCACAAATCTACCGTCGTAAATTTCATAAACTTGGGATCTGATGAATCTGTACAATGGAGTAATAACACGGTTCAAGTAGTCACCTTCTGGAACTGGTTCTTGTCTTTGTTGGCACAATGGTGATTGCAAGTAATCCATAGCAGTTTTGTAAATGTAACATAAACATTCTGGAGTAAAACGGACTTGATTGGCTTCACCCCACAACAATAAATAAAGGGCAATGTCTCTGACTCTTTCTTCTGGGGTTAAAGAGTTCATCTTGGCCTTCCATCTGATTTCGGCAGCTTCTAAGGAGTAATCGCCTTCTAATTCGTTTGCAAGAGCATCGACATCTTCACCGTGTTCTTCGGCTGCTTTTCTGGCTTTCTTGGATTTCTTGGATGCCTTTCTGGCTTTTCTACCAAGTTTACCCAAAGTCATATTGGCAAAACCCAAGGAATCATCCAAATCTTGTTGGGAAGCAAAGAACCATTTTCTATAGTTGGCATTGTCACCACCAATGTAATCGGCATGTAAACTCAACAAAGCTTGGGCTGGAGACATACGAGAAGATCTAGAATCTAACAAAGTCATAAAGTAATCAAACATATTTCTCATAGAATCTCTTTGGAAACCAAATTTATTAGTCAAATCAATGAAAATATCTTCAATGTGTTCTACTTTAATTGGAGCTTGTGGATCAGCTGACCATGCTGGGTATGGCAAATTTGAAGACATGTTGAATTGGGTTGGATCGTAACCTTGACCTTGACCACCGTAAATTGGTGTAGATGCACCAGAAGATCTAGGATCTCCACCATAGCTCATTTGGGATGGTGTGTATTTGAGTACCATATTTGATCATAACCCTGGAGTACCAGGAGTTTGGCCACCCGTAGCTAAATCCGGAAAATGCTTCTGGATCAGCATTGTACTCCTTGGGCATTCATTGGGTGGGCCACCATATGGGCCTGGATCCTTGATATCCATCCATGGTCATATGGGGTGGATGGGTGTATTGAACATTTGGATCGTAGTAGTCTTGTTGATGTGGTTGTTGACCCATGTTGTCATATTGTTGTTGTTGACTCATATCGTCATATTGTTGTTGGTAGTACCCATCACCTTGTTGCGGTGGAACACCGCCCTGTTGGTTAGGGTCGTAATAATGATTGTTATTGTTATCGTTATACGACATCTAATGAAATAAAATGAAAGGAAATGTTAGTATCAAAGAGGTGATAACAAGTCTTTTGAACAATAATATTTTGAGTTTTGTTTTTTTTAGTTGTCTGTTTTTAGCACAATGAACCAAATAAAAAAAAGAAAAATTTTATTGTTGATGTTATGTAATGTGTTGTTGTATGTTTAAATGTGTGGGTGTGTCCTGAAATAAAAAAAAAAAAAGAAGAAGAAAAAAAGTGAAACTTGAGGTATTCAGCTTGTTCTAAATATAAAGTGAAATTTAAGTTGATTTTTCCTTTCCTAAATTTTGACGAGGGAAAATGTCTTTATTTTAAACAATAAAAAGAAGACTTCTGGAATTATGATCCTTATCAGGAGGAAATACTTGAAGTAAAAGTATGAACCAATTGATAAGCCAAAAAAAAATAGATTAGGGATGTGATCTGGAATCGGTGTGAATTATCCCTCTTATTCTCTCAAATCAAAACCTGAAAAAAAAAGAAACTCAAAGACCTCAGTAAAATGTGTGTGTGTCAGATCAAAGTCAACAAAATCAATAGTTGTATCACAATAAAATAGCCAGACAAATTATTGGTTTCTAGTAATGATCTATGATTTCAGCTACTGTTGTTGTTATTGATGTTACTTTTTTGGTTCCTGTGCTAATAAGGCTCTCAACCACCCTAATCTGGCAACTAGCAATGATAAAAATTGCTTTTTTTAAAGGTCGTGTTTTGAAATCACTTTTGTAATTCATGCACGCCCGAGGAATTTTTTTTTCTTTTTTTACTAAATTTAGAACTTATGGAATAATCGGTTGCAGCTGATTGGGGAGTTGGAAAAAAACGTTTGCTGATGATAAACTGATTGTAAAAAAAAGCCAATGAATGTTGAAGTTGAAGATGGATAGTTCAACCTTGACCAATCAATGTAATTAACTAGCTTCTTCAAAGAATAGTGTTACACGAAAACTCACATTCATGCACACTCGCACGCACACACACACACACACACACGTCCGCAGTAAATTTTTTTTTCGTTCCTCTTTGTCGATGTAATTCAGGGCCAGTTTCGATTTCAATACATCAGGATTTTTTTTTCGTTCCTCGAGTAAGATCCCAAAATCAAAAATCATTCATCATGGATAATCCAATGTAAGATGTTGGAATAATATGGGCATAGGTTTGTGATTAGGTTCCTCTATACCTATGTTTCCCTTAATCGGTCTCTCTTTATCAATTTCACTTTTTTTTTCTTTATGCTCTTGTTCCTCCTAGATCCATATACTTGTTGGATCAAAACAAAACTCAATTGATTAGATATACTTAATACATACCTTTCAGATCTCTTTCTTCTCTTTTAATTAAACTAAGCGAATGACGTATTAATATAAAAGGGAGGTTGATAGTAGGAGATGTTGAATTAACGATCAGTATGGATCAAAAAATAAAAGAAGAAAAGAAAAAGAAGTAGAAATCAAAAAAAAAAAATAGAAAAAAAAATTGTTAAAGAAATTTTGAAATAATTATATAAAGTGAGAGAACAAAAAAAAATTTACTATCAGAAACAAAAGTGAAAAAAAAAAAAAATGTAGTATGGGTAAGCAATTCTACACAGAGACACGAATTGATTTAGTATGGATAATTGGAATTTTTGTACTATTCACCATACAAAATCTGAAATAAAAAAAGAAATTTATGAAACTGATTTTGTTACTCGAGAAGTACTGTTTAATCTCTACTGCATTGATATTATTTTACACAATAATAGAACAATTACTATTCACTCTTTCTTTCTCTTTCTCTCCTGCTTTTTTTTCATTCAACTAACTGGTACTACTACGCCTCCTTAAAAATGTAATGTTCACCATGCAGGACATGAAATGAAAAAAAAAATTATTAGTCGCGACCGTGTTTCTGCACTTTAACCAGGAGAATTTCTCGTTGAAAAGTTGATGAAAATTCAAAGCAATGCAATTACTAATTCAATTCAATAGCGACTATTGAATTATTTAATCCATGTTGTAGGATCAGTTCATTGTCTACATGTAATAATTCTATTTAGCCAGATATTTGAAGTACACGATTGTTTCGGCTATGCTTTAATCTTTCGTTTCATTGGTTCTATTTTTTGTTTAACTTTTTTTATTCCTTGTTAATCAAGCTGGATTCGCCGGTCGGTTCGTCAAATAAACTTCATGAAAAATATCTCAATAATACATGGCGGTGGAGGCGTGGTTTACACGTGAAGATGGGACGAATGCATCGTGCGTGAAATGTATAGCCAAAGTAAATAAACACAGACCTGCTCCTTTACTCTGCAACCTTAGATACACGCGTAGAAAAATAAAAACAGTATCAAAACCTCAATATAAACCTGATTTCCAACCCTTAAAAACAAGGATCAATCGGGTATATAAATTTGGTTTTGTTTTCACTTACAATTACATCCAAGATAAGGTAGAAAAGAAGGACTAAAAGTAAATTACAGGAACAATTAGGGGGCGGGTATTTATTATTTTTTTTATTATTATTATTCATAAATAATATGAGGAACAGCAAAATGAAATATCCATCAGAATGTTGATTCTATTTGTCGTTTCTTTTTGGATTTAATACACAAGTGATTGTTTTTCAAAGTCGGGTTTCTATTAATAACATTTGGTTATCTCAAAAGAAACTTTGTCTTTCATTTTCATTTTCATGGGTTTTGATCGTTCACCGATTGCCCATATGGAGGTCGTGTACGATATACCCCTTTGGAACAATTTCCCCGTTGTCATAACAACCAATTATGTAGATTTTTTTTTTTTTGTACTTTTGGCAATTGGTCAAAGAAAAAAAAAACACACACACACACACACACACAGCAATTACACATCCAAATCAGGCGAATCTGTCGGATTTTTATTTCTGCTGTGATAACTGGATAGTTATTACGAAACGTAGGGTTCAGGGGAGTGAGAGTATGTTCAATAATGCTTAAGTAGATTGTCTCTTTCTTCAATTAATTATTCCATTGAAGTCCGTTAATTGTTTAACATTTTCATATTTACAAATCTATTTTTAAATACATTGCCCTGTTTCATTTTCCTTTTTTTTTTTAGTGATTAGTTTTCAATTCTTTTTTTTTTTCACAAATTTTTGGTTAAAACTTCGTCTGAAAATCTTACTTAAAACAGAATATGTGAACCAGAGAAAGCATAACTCCATTAAATGACATCTATTTACGACTAGATTATATGCAAATCAGGGGACTTTCAAAAATGAAAGCTTACTGGATTTTTCTTTTTTAATAGTCAAGTCATTGTGAAACAAATTTCCGGTTTCGAATTAGAATTCACCAGCGCGACAAAGCTACGATTACATAATCAAACCACCATATTTAAAGTTGCAAATAAAACGCAATCTTTTGTATTACTAACGACAATATAAAAACACAACCTATAGTATAGTATTAAAAGAAGACATCAAGGTATAAAAAAGAACTGAAGGAGAAAAACTGTATTTCGAAAGAAGAAAGGATATGGTTATCTCTTTCTTTTTTTTCGATTATAGAATTGAAGGTATTATAAATAATTGAACGAATGAATGCAGTAAATGACGAAGGTTTTTTTTTTTGTAGGATTGGTTAGTGTAATTTAAATTATTCTGGAGAGTTACCATATAATCCCCAATAGTATTCAACACCATAAGGACCAGCACCTCCAATGCTGAATTTCCAATAATCATTATACATAGTAAACATGATCACCTTATCAGCTAAGGAAGAAACAATAGAAGAAACTGCTTCGACTTGATTTTCCACTGAAGGAACACAACTTCCATATGCCTGACCTTGAGTTGGCCATCCACTTTCTGTAATCAAAACCTCTTTTGAAGTGCCACAAACACTTTGTAAATGTGAAATTTGTTGTTGTAACCAAGGACCTGAATCACCAGGTGAAACACCACCATCCCAGTATGGATGACAATTAACAGCAAGATAATCAGACATCTCACATAATTGAGGATTGGCAACATAAGCTACCAAAGTGTCAACCGTTACAATAGGACCAGTATATCCATTTGAGTTCAAATATTCTCTTGATGTATCAACAGCAGCTTGAACTTGAGCAACTGTAGCTTCACCAGCATTAACTCTTTCATTGCCGATGGCAATAGTATGAACAGCATCCCAACCTCTTGAATTTGATTTCACAGCATTAACAATATCTTGTAATTCACCATCTGGAGAAGCAATATTCCATACACCAAGATATATCTTTTGATTAGAGCCCATGGCTGCCATGACATTTTCAATTCCTGAACAATCAGTACCATATAATCTAATAATACTATATCCCGATAATAATTTGATATCACGGGAAATTTGTTGGGCAGATTTACATGTATCTTGATCGGTGTATGGAGAATATGTAATACCCAAAGCTCCAATGCTGCCTTGGCTCCTTCAGAACTACCTTGCACAGTAACAGTGGCTTCATTAACTGGGGCAGTTGCTGTCCCTCCTCCTTGAAAAGTTATTCCCAATGTTGAACCTGTAGTAGTGGGAGTCCCACTATTACCACCAGCACTTTGTTGTTGGCCTGAACCATGAATTGGATTGGATGAGCCTGAATTTCCAACACTACTACTAGAGCCAGCTGAGTTACCAATAATTATATTTGTGCTGGGTTGGGCTACCACAACTGGAGAAGATGATGAAGAACTTCCAGATCCAGATCCACCTAACAAAAAGGCAAACAAATCTCCACTATCTGAAGAAGACAGAGAACCAACATTAGCTGTAGCAGCTGCAGATTGAACTGGAGTAACAACAGATACAAAAACTTGTTCACTTGTTACAACCAACGGAGTACTGAACAGTGCTGTAGTGGAGATAGGTTGTTGTGGTTGTGTAGTAGTTTGAGCAACTGGTGCAGCCGCAGCGGCAGTAGAAGTAGTAGTGGAAGAAGAACTCAGTCCAGATGATCCACCAAAGAAACTATTCCATAAACTACTAAATAACCCACGCGATGATGATGACGTAGTTGTAGCTGCTTGAGTTGCGGCAACTGCTGGAGTGGCTTGAACCGCTTGAGCTGTAGTTATAGCAGCAGCTGGCGTGTTTGCAACTTGTGTAGCCGGAGCAACAGCCGTTGTGACTGGTTGAGTTGTTGATGATCTACCACCACCAAATAATCTTCCCCAAAAACCAACACTTGAAGTTGTAGCAGCAACTTGTGTAACAGGAGTTGTCACAGCAGGAGTAATTGAAGCAACAGTTTGAACAACTGGAGTTGTGGCTGGTTGGACAGCGACTACTGGAGTAGAAGTAGTGGTTGATATTCCAAATAACTCATCAAAAAAACCTCTCTTTACAGGTGCTGCTTCATTTAAGCTTGCAATAGCAAGTGAAACCAAAATGTATTCAAATTTCATGATTCTTGATTTTTCTTTGCCAGATCAATGAATGAATGACTTAATAAGATTATCTTTATAAACTCTAGGGGGTATATTGAAACAAAAAACAAAAGGGGAAATATGTGGCAATGAAAAGTTGTAATAATATAATGAAAGTAAATAACACTCTATCTAATCAAAGAATGACTTATAACCTTGGAGTATGTATAATGATTGTTGGATATACTTTTCTTATTTCAAGAAGTTGAAAAATTAAGGATTACAAATAGGAAAACCAAAAAAAAATTTTTTTTACCTCGATGAATGTTTTGGACGGAAATTCCAAATTGTTTATATACCATCATCATCTTTAGTGACTCCTCCCCTTGAATTGGTTTAATTCTATCATACTTATTGTAAGTATAAAACAAGTTTCATACATTTTTTTTTCTTCCATGGTCCTTCTTCATTTCCTAATTGGGGTTGAAAGATTTTGCAACTTGCGGCGCGCGTACGTCTATGCAGTACCATTTACCCTTTTCGGTAAATTTATTGGATTTCGAATAATCTTGCGAATCGTAAAAAGATTTTGAAATACAATACCAGTTTGTAAAATGATAATGGGAATGGTATAACCGAAATAACATAACAAAACATGCTTTGAGTTTTATAATGTGTGGGGGACAGTTAGGCGAAGAAAGAAAGAAAGAAAGAAAGAAAGAAAGAAAGAAAGATATGGTTCTTGTTACTATGGTCAGAATGATTCATCGATAGCCAACTGTTTCAAGATTCGAGTTACAATAAAAACATCAACTTTCACTCTCTCCAATAAGACCTTGAATATCATGTCTCCACTCATCAAGCAGAGCCAAGCCTTGTTAACTCAAATTACTTCTTGTAGAATATCATTCTTCTGGGGAGCCTTTTTTTTTTCTCAGCCATTAATTCTACAGGTGATTCAGTTGATTTTTTTTTTCTATTTTATACTAAAAGGGGTATGTTTGATCTAAGCCGATGTTGCATATTTTGCACCAAAGACATAATCATTTCCTTTTATCAATGAGGTTAGTAATTTAAGTTGAATCAAATGCTGGTGGGGTGAAATTCACTTTGTCATCTATTACTCCACCTTTTGGTGGCTTTTCGGAAGAACTTGCCAATAGTAAGAGTTATAAAGTGGGACTCTTGGAAGTTGGTTGCTGAGAATAACCTAATAGGACTTGACGTTTTGTTGAGGGACATATTGCTACCAAAAGAAGGGGTCCCTCCTCCTTCCCCAATGACGCACTGTATTATCTTATTTTGGTAATAACTACAATAACACCTTTGTACAATTAAAGCACATGGTCTTTTTATGAATTATGACAAATTATATTTACTTGAAAAATTTCACTATGTAATAGAAAAGTACTAACATCATGAATACACAAAACCAAAATAACCATTTATCTTGTTTAGCCCTCCTTTCAACACTTCTTATAGTACCTTGACTTACTCCCAATGTAATCAAACTCTCCTCAAATTTGGTTTGTAATTTTCTTAATGTTTCATTTTGTTCAACTATATCTTCAAATGCCTGTTGTCCCATTTCCAAAATTCTATCTAATTGTTCTGAACCTCTTTCAAGAGAATTCTTCTCATGATATAATCCTTCTCTATAAGACATGGTTGCTTGCTCTTGTTGTTGTGAATTAGGATCAAATGGATTATCAGAAGAAGTGGAATTAGAAGTAGCACCTCCACCTAGATGTCTTCTCCCTAATAATTCTTGTTTATTTGCTTCTTGAAGTTGAATATCACGCTGTTTCTTTAAGGAATCAAATTTGGAAGTAAATTCATTCAAATCCTGGTTGAATTTAGTTGATCTACTTTCATGTTTAGCATATGACGAGTCGTTGACGTTTTTATCTAATAAATCATTATATTCTTTAATGGTTTTCTTGAATGCGGTCAATGATGTTGTGATAGCACCTTGTAATGATAATGGTGATGTGGATAAATTTTTCTCGAATTCAGCTAAATCTTTGGTTATTGTATGAGTCTGTTTAACACCATGATTGTATATGGAATTCATCTTGAATATATTAGAAGAAAGCAGTACTGCTGTATAGTTTGTTGATAGTAGTTCCCTAAGATTCTTTTTTTTTTTTCTTTTGTATTGATGTTTTTTTTTTTTCGTGTTCGTGTTCATCATGATCTGAAATTCGGGTTGCCATGAACTACACCAAATGAGAATCAGTGATTAAAAGGAAAAACTAAAGAGTTCGTTAATGTTGCTAAATAATCACATTTATTAAAACTGTAAAGACTTTTTTTTATTAATGCTATTAAAAATAAAATCTAACAAATGTTAATAACAAGGCCAAGGTACCAGTACTGACCCCCATTAACCATTGCAAGACTTGAGTTTTGACTGTTTTAATTTGCATTTGCATATTTGAAACTTCTTCATCAATTCTACTATAGGTATCTTCAATTTTCAATTCATGCTGTGAACTTTCTTCTCTAATTCTACCTTTTTCTAAATTTAAATCTAATCTGACACTGGCCTGATTTTTGGTAATTTCTTCTTTTAATCGATTCTTCAAATTTGTTAAATCAGTACGTAACTTTTCTTGTTCTTTTTTCAAACCAGTGAACTCAGATTTATCCATAGTTTGTAGTTCTCCTTTTAATTTCGCAAAATCCACCTTTTGTTGATAAGCAGTGGATGATAATGCTTCTTTTTTAACCAAATTGTTAGTGATAGAATAAATACCATCATTAATAGCAGCATTGACAACATTAACTGCTGCTTCAGCTTGTTTCTCTGAAAACCCTCCCTTTTCTTGTAATGACTGGACAAACTTTCTGGTATCGAATTTAGTAATAGATGACAAGTTTCGTAGGTAAATGTGACTAACGGGTCTATAAATATGAGTATATGGTTTAAGAATAGGTATCATTTTTGGTGATTAAGGAAATAATCAATAGAAAGTGTTGTAAAATACAAATTGTGACTTTTTATTTTTCTTTGTAAAGTTGCTTTGCTTGCTTGTGGGTTTTCTTTATTTTTTTGCCTTCTCCCGCGTACTACTGGTATTATAACGGGTTAAATTTAGCGAGTCAGCGCGAATGATTGCAAGGCGGTACATGCACGACATGGGAGAAGAAAGTAAGAGAAGAAGAAGGAGAAGAAGAAAAAATAAAATCCCCCCAAGTCATCTTTAATTATAAATCCCATCAATCCCATTCGTTCAACCATGATATTGCGAGTCAGAAGGATACCAAAAATTGCATACAAATTTGCAATCCCTATAAGGTATAACTCAACAAAGGACAAATATTCATCTATTGAAGAATTCAACAAGAATAAAACTAAATACAACTATGGATATAATTTCGATTCATTGGATAAATTAGATGCCAAAATTAACCCTGATCATGTAAATAAACCAACCACTCCACAAAGATCCTATGCTGAAGCTGAAGAAGATAAACCTATGGATATCAATGCTATTATTGAAAGTGATCCACGTTTACTTAATTTCAAACCAGGTACTGCTGAATATCGTGACGAATTGAGAAAAATACATGCTGAGTTTTTGATTAAACAACAGAATCAACAAAAGAATCATGAATTTAGGCAACGAATGAAAGCGGTTATTGTTGGGTTCCTAGCTTTTGTGGGTATCATTTCTGCACATCAAATATTTATGAACTACGACTCATTAAAGAATAGACTATTGATGAATTACACCTACGGTGATGTGCAATCATCAGAAGACAAGACCAAGGTTACTAATACAAAAAGTACTAAATACTTGTTGGAAAAATTAACCAAGGAACTAAGTGATGACCACTTGAATCAAATTCAAAATTCAAAAGAGGTTACTGGTGTTTATGTCTTTGGAAATGATACAAAGATTCCATTACGTATTCCATTTTTTAATGATATGATCTTGAAGGATGTATATGTTGAAAGAGGGCATTTAGTTGCGGTTAGTGACAATGGTAAAGTCTATGAATGGAAAAAGGGATGGTCTGATGCTAGATTAATTAACTTGCCTTATAATGTTGATAAGGTGACACCTACAAATGATTATTTTTACTTTTTGACAAGTAAAGGTGAAGTTGTCTTCATTCCAAGAAATAAGTCTGATACTAAATTTGTACCACTTCAAAGAAGAAATTGGTTTGGTTTATTGAAAACACAGAACTACAACAAGTTGAATGTTAAGAACATCAAAGAAATTGAGGCAGGTGCTAATCATTTATTGTTATTAGATAAACAGGGACAAGTATATGTTGTTAACTCATCGGAAAGACCTTCTAATCGTGGCCAATTTGGCTCGGTGTATTCCCCTTTTGATAACAAAGAAGTTCCTGTTAATACTCCTATTGATTTGACTTTATTAAACCATAAATTTGTGAGAAACACGAAAGGTGAAAAGGTATTGGTTCCTCGTGTGTTTGAATCAATTGCTGCAGGTAAATACTTTAATTTGGTTTCCGACGATGAAGGTAATATTTGGACATGGGGTGAGAATTCTTCTGGACAATGTGGGAATTTGAACACCAAAGAAGTGAAACCAATTCCACAACCGGCATTTGCCAAAGATGATCTCAAAAGAGTTTTGAGAAACGTGATACCTCTTGCCAAGACTGATTTGATTCAAATTAAGAAACTTGCAGCTGGTGACGAGACTGCTTACGCTTTGATCAATTATTTGGATAAGGACATTCTTATTGCGTTTGGAAATGGATTGAATGGTCAATTGGGAGGTTCTAGGTATATGCAAGTCTGTTGCTGGCCGGAGATTACTAAATCATTACTTGACATGACAGAATTTGACGAATCTATAAACTCAATCAAGACAATTGGAATTAAAGATATTTCCGTTGGCAACAAGCACTTGTTCATAACCTTGAATAATGTAGGCCAGTTCAAAGATGTTTATGCTGTCGGAGAGAATATCATGGGACAATTGGGTAACGGTAAGAAAACTAAAACTTGTAAACCAATAAAGTTACCAAGATTACTTGAACCTGAAGACAAGTCAGATAGAGTGGCTATCGTTCAAAATTTGACTGATGTCAATACCAAAAGATTATTGTTACTTGATAACTGGAGCATATCTAAGAAACCTGTAGATCAAGTCATTAAAGCTGGTGATGATACTTCTGTTATATTTTACAAGCATCATTAATAGTTTGGGTAGTCGTATTTTGTTTGTATTTCTTGTTCTTATTTTTTTTTTTATTTTTTTCATTTATCCTTGTAAATATATTTTGTTTATTTTCTTAATATGTCTCTCTATATAAGTATTCTATTACAATTTGAAGATTTCGTTCAAGATTTTAATGGTATCATCTGGGGAGTTGACAGCGTGACCAATAGTTCTTGGGTCGTTATAAATTTCGTAATCGTTACCACCTTTGTAAGATTTGTCACCAAAGAAGTGAATGTTTTCAAAGTGTTCATCTTCAACGTGTTGTAAACAGTAAGTTTTGTCCCAACCGGTAGGGAAAACATCAAAAGAAATTTGACCACCAATGGAGTAAGTCAAACCGTAATCTGGGAATTCTTTCTTCAAAGCTTCAACCATTTGTTCTCTAATATGGTGTTCTTTATCGAATTTTTCGTAATCGTTTCTTTCTTGAGTAGAAGCATTTCTACCAATTGGAGAGACATTGATCATACCGTTTCTGAATTCAACAAAAGTACCTCTTCTAACTGGGAGATCAATATCAGACAAATATCTCAAGATAAATTTGACCAATTTGTTGTATTTTTCGTTACCAATCCAGTTGATGAAAGATTGGGAAGCCAATTCTTTACCCAATTTGTAAGCAGTCAAACCATTTTCACTGAAACAGTAGTCGAAATCTTGTAAAACAGTTGGACCCAATTGTTCAACTTGTTTGGATAAATCGGAACCACCAACAAATCCAATAACAACCTTTTTACGCAATTTTTCCAAAGTGGATTTCATTTCATCAGAAACGGTTAATCTGGCTGGGGTTAAAGTACCGTCAACATCAAACAAAACTAAAGTTTTTGGATCTTCTTTACTGGAAAAGGACATTGTTATAGATCTATTAGCTGGAATAATAATATATATATATCTAAGCTCAAAGAAGAAAAGAAAAAGAAGAAAAGAGAAAAAAAAATCAAAAGTGGAAACAGTTCTATTTTTATTTGTATAGATTTTTTTTTATTTCTTTTTTTTTTTTTTTTTGTTTGTTGTTTTTCGCTGTTCAATTTTCGTTCAAGCCATCCAGCGTGGCCCTACGAGTTTTATTCAATTTTAATTGCAATAGTAGGTGTTGTTTATTGTGTAAGTCAACTAAAACACAAAGAAAAATAGAAAAAAAAAATTTATTTGTCGTGTTTCACTCACCCGATGGTACAAAGAACAAAGAACTAAAAGCTTAATATTAAACAACAAAAAAATGTACACCTGAAATAGAGCACGCGTTTTGTATGGACATGTTGAACGTGACCTCATAATCAATACACAGTGGTTTTCTCTTTTTTTTGTTTATGTAATTTCATTTGTTTTGCAGCAATAGATGGTGATGTATCACATTCTAACATTGGCAAAACATACATCGATTGAGTGAGTTTGTCATAACTTATTGATAAACTGTGGGGAACGTGGTCATCTTGTGGGATCATCGTCAAAAGATCAACGAAATTTTAATCAGCAGAATAAATACATTCGTATACTACTATTAAAAGCTTTCTAACTATTAATAAACAATTAAGAACTATATAGACAATATTATGTTTTTCTTTATATATATATATATATATATTTCTCTTCTTTTCCCTTTACATTTGCATGAAGTTATAACTTATTGTCTAGCAATAAGTAAAAATTATGCCAAAACTCTAATCCTGTGACTCTTTATCTCCACCCTTTCTTTTACTATATTCATCAATAGCCTTCTCTTGTGCAGCAGTAACATAGTTTAACATATTAACAGCTGTCTGGTCATCATAGGTATACTTTATGAAAAAATATTGAACCCAAAGATGGAGTGAAAATATTATTGTAGATATGCAATATCCAATGAATATCAAAGTCTTAAAGACACAATTCCAATTCTTACCTTTAAGTGATTTGTCATCTTCCATAGATCTTAGTTCTCTTTCAAGTAGTCTTTGAAACTCTTCGATTTCTTGTTGTTGAATTGGATCAAAAGCAGTATCAGATGAGGGAGGAGTGAAATCATTAACGTCATTATTCCAATGTTCGGTCTCTGACATTCTATCTACTATAGCAGTAGAAGTACCATTATTACTACCATTTATTTGCTCCATTATAGTTTGTTCTTCTTCGTTGTGAAGATCGTCAAGAAGCTAGCTGCTATTAAAGATGTGGGGGATTTCAAATTATTTGTTGCTCTCTCACTTTCTAGGGGGAAAAAAAGATCAATTGAAAAGATCTATAAACTAATGAGATAGTGTGGATTATTTTAATCTATAACAAAGAAATAAATAGGAATTATGGAAACCAAGTTGAATTGATTCTCAAAAAAAAAATCCTAATCCTAGTAAGATGATGATGATGATGATGGGTTGTAAAATACAAACTCTATTTCTTTAAGGAAATTCATGTTATTATATACATTTTTTTTTATTTTTGGCAAATCTATCGGAGTAAATTTTCAAAAAACATCTTTTTCATGTGAAAATGGCAGATATACCAAAAACAGCGAAAAAGGCAAAAATAAAAAAAAAAGAAAAGGAAAAAGAGGACCTACGTTATATTGATCTACACGAGAGCAATGATTATATTGATAATACCTCTGTAAAATAGTGTCTATCGCTAATAACTCCCAATAAGAAATTAAACAATAAGAAGATTATAATAATATTTATTAAAACAAGTTACACACTTTCACAACACTACACTTAAGCAGAGTATTGGTAGTCTGGGAATTGTTTCAAGTTAGCTTCCAAGTTACCTTTTCTGGACAAGAATTTAACGTAAGCACCATCATCGATGACTTCACCGTTGGATTTCTTAGCGATATATTCATCTCTGTTCAATGGAGTGAAACCCCATTTCTTAGAAATAATAATCTTTTGTTGACCTGGGAACTTGTATCTAGCTCTTCTCAAACCTTCGATAACAACATCCTTGTTAGAGTCTTTAGTTCTAGCGGACATGATAATTTGACCAATAGAAACTCTGGCGGCTAAACCATGTGGTTTACCCCAAGCACCTCTCATACCTTGTTGCAATCTATCGGCACCGGCACATGACAACATTTTGTTGATACGCAAGACGTGGAATGGGTGGACTCTGACTCTCAAGTGGAAAGAATCTCTACCAGAAATCTTGGTGATGTATTTGTTAGCACAGATACGGGCAGCTTCCAAAGCTTCAGAAGATAATTGTTCCAATTCGTTGGAAACCAAGTGGATACATAATGGGAATTCATCAACTGTGGCCTTCTTTCTACCTAAATCGTAGATTCTGATTTTAGCGTCTGGGACAGCTCTGTTGTATCTAGATTTTGGGTATGGTTTGTTTTTACAGTATCTGTAACATCTAGCTGGTCTTCTAGCCATTTTGTCTTTAATAAAACTGTTAGTAATTGAACAAGATTTCTCTTAATACAACAAAAATCTAAAAAAAAATATATATAGATCCAAAACAAGAATTGAAATTAATGATACTGTGGATGTCTTTTTATATTATTCACTAAAAAAAATTTTTTTGCCGTTGCTTACAAATCAATATTTCTATGATGGAAAATTTTGCTTTCAATACTATTGGGATGCACTTCTCAATATGAAATCTTCCTGGGTGAATAATAACATCTCTGTATCCTCTTATTACTGGTAAATATTTCTTGATTCTGTCGTATTTGGTAGTCTCCCTATAACATACCTTCTTTGCTTTGTTAGTGTGAAACCTTCGTGAAAAGATTGGTAAGGAAAGCTTTGAAATTCCATTTTTTCTCTTAGCGTGAGCGGAGCGAGCGCCTACCACAGAACAAGAAACAAAAAGTGCGTGCGACAGTGCTTACTAATTATTGTGTAGTACTGTATACAATACAAAAAAGTGAATATTTCCTCATGATGGACCGATTAGGGCTGTAGCCCTAGCTGGTGCGACTTTAATTAAATTAAGTAATGTCGTAATGTCGCGAAAGTTTCTAGCTCATCGGATTATACTGTGGGATCAAAGAAAACAAAAGTCAACTGTTAATAACAGAATGGTTCTCTAACAGTGAACGGTATTACATAACAATAATGGGTAGATATAGTGTTAAGAGATATAAAACTAAAAGAAGAACTAGAGACCTTGATCTTATATATAATGATTTGTCAAATCCAGAATCCATTAATAAACTAAAGAACCAGCCACTAGATGAACTGAAACCAGGATTAGGTCAATATTATTGTATCCACTGTGCCAAATATTTCGAGAATCAAATAAGTTTAGATCGTCATTCTAGATCTAAAGTGCACAAGAGAAGAGTTAAGGAATTGAAAGAAAGACCATATTCTCCTTTGGAAGCTGAAGCTGCAGCAGGGGTCAACATGGAGAAATTTGCCGCTAGTGTGGAAAAATTCAAACAATTGGAACATTACAAACAAGAAAACAAAGAAGAGTTTGATAAGTTGATAAATCAAAAGAAAGATACTTTGGATGCTATAATAACAGGTGTTCCTTCAGAAGAATTCCAAAATGAACAGCAGAAATTACAAGAAGAGGTGATAAGTAAAGGTCAAGGGGAAATTACTATGGAAGAATAGACTATATATATATGATTTCAGGTTTGCTTTTGCTTTTATACGTTCTTTTTATTTTACTTCATTTAGTTATAATTTTAATTTTATGTGTTTAAGTCTTTTTTGTACTTAGAGACGAAATTCATATGAGGAAGTTGGGACCGCTTTATATCGAGCACCGTAGTTTGACTATTGATCTTAGTTCTCTTAGAACCTATAATGCAAGGAGTTATCATTTGTGCAAATATTATCTTTGGAAATGGAACTCTACTCCACTATCATTGGTGTGAGATATCTCACTCCCTTTTTCCTTCTTCTGATTATGTAATCGAAGCTTTTGCCTTTTTCTTTTGTGTGCGAGAATATCATCTATACCAAAGCGTGTTCCAAGAATGGGTTAAGCGTAATCGCGAAGACACGATAGGCTACAATTTTCTTGATTGTTATCTCGTGCAATTGTTGCTAACTTCTGTACACTGAAGAAACACCACAGGAACTTCTTTTTATTTTTGGCTTCAAGTATACTTTGCTTCCCCTTAGTATCGGAAAATCTTTTGACAATAGGGAGAGAGACGAGCCAACGAAAAAAAAAAAAAATAGAGTCGTAATTACGAGCTTGTTTTCATTACTTTCAACAAGTTACAAATCTTATACTTTTAAGGAACTAACTAAGTTGACTGTATATTTTATTTAGTTGTTCTTGGTTCGTCTAGTTCAAGCATCATCTATTTGGATATTTCGGTTTTCGTTCTATTTTTTCTTCCGAAGATTTTTATTCCACTTTGAAGTCCTTAGATTAATTTTTTTTTTCTTTTTTTTTTTCAGTCTCCTTCAACTACCCAAAAAAGGCTTCTGACAACACACATTTCTCCGAGTCGAGTTAGTTTTCTTTTTTTTCAATTATTAGCCTTCTTTGCTACAGAAGATAACATCCAAACGAAAGATACCCTAATAGAATATGCGATTAAAACTAAAGTCAAACACTGGTGTATCGACTATAAACTTGGACGACAATTCCAAATTATTTAAAGATTTTCTTGATGATATTCAACAAAATAAAGAACTACATGAAAATGGGTCAGAAGTTGTTGCGTCCATAAAGAAAGGATTCCCACCTAAACCAATAGATTTATCATATTCTCGGGATACTACAATAAGTGATAAAGAAATTAAAGATGGAGACCAGTTGTTAATTGATTTTGCATCATTTAAACGAAAAGTCACTGTGGAGTCCTCATTGTCCCCACAACCTGCTGAAAAGAAACCAAACCTACGAGAAGACATACCATCAGCTTATATTGAATCAATAAATAAGTATTTGATTCTTCGAAATATTCCTGATGACAATTCCTGTTTGTTCAATTCAATATCGTATGCTGTGTCAGGGTATGATTCCTATAATAATATATCCCCACCAGATGAATTGCGGACAGTGGTAACCAATTATATCCATGATGACCATGAACTATACTCCGATTTGATCTTAGGGCGTCCAAGAAATGAATATTGTGAATGGATAAAGAAAAAAGATAGTTGGGGAGGTGCCATAGAGTTGGGTATATTGGCAGATTGGTTTAATATTCGAATAGTATGCATTGACATAGAACTGGGTAATTTTATTCGTTTTGAAAATGAAAAGAAGAGTCCTGAAAATTTCATTATATTGATTTACAGTGGTATTCATTATGATGTTTTAGCCATGAACGATGAATTGTCTTTAGACAACAAGGCAGGTGATATTGCTCAATGGAAAATAAAGGACGAGCACGAAGAAGATATTTTAACAGCCAGTCAGAAACTATGTAAATTATTGCAAAGTAAGGATTATTCAACAAACACAACAACATTTAGAGTTAGATGCTTAGACTGTTATCAAGTGTTAGTCGGTGAAATGGGAGCTTCAAAACACGCTGAAGAAACAGGACACCTTAATTTTGGCGAAGTTAAAAAGAAATAAAAACTGTATACATTAAAAAAAAATAAACAGCAAATAATGATGATGATTGAATGAATGCAAGTAATATTGTTGTAGTTATTAATGTCGTTGTAATATTTTAGAATACATATATATATCACTGTTAATTTTCCTCTATTGATATACGGTCCTTGACTTTCAAAAATGTGCTTGCCAACCTGGCAAATGACATGTAAAATGTAAGGTGTGACAAAAATAATAGAGTAAAGGAAAACCGAATTTGCTGCTGTGTCCCATCAAAGAAAAAGGCAGAAAGAAAAAATACTAACTGAACGAAATGACTGCACTGTAGGAGAAAAAGAAAAATGCTGAGATTCCATTTTTTTTTTGCTGAAACAGTTTACAACGGATCTTTTCTGATTTTTCTTTTTCTTTTTTTTTTTTTCAACATTCCATTTCTATTACCGTTTCTTCACCTTCGTTTTATTTATTTATTTTACTAAAACTAGTGAAACACTACTACTGAAACGAATTGTCACGAACATAGGATCTTAGCAAGTCTATAAATCAGGAATAGGATTAAGTTATAACAGAGATGTCTAAATCAACCGAAATATTTTGTATGTATTAAAGTTCCATGATTTACGAATGCCATTTAGCAATGATCAACAAATACTAACAGACTCAATGAGTATAGGTCGTCTTCCGAAAACTGTCGAGTTAATTCAAGACTTTAATGATATAACACCAGAGCCAAAGGCTAATGGTGAATGTCGTGCCGCATTGTACTCCAGTAATGGTCAATTCTTTGCTTTTACCCAACCAAATGAAGTTGTTATATTGGATACATCCGCAGAAGCAAAATTGTATCACCGTATCGAGATCCCAGAAGTATTTGATATTTATTTTTCTCCAGAAGGTACATTCTTGTGTCTTTGGTGTAAACCAGTTCAAATAAATAAGGAAAATGGTACTTGGAATAACAATTTAAAGATTTTCAACGTTAAAACTAAAACAGTAATCGCTGAATGGAGTGCCAAACACCAAAGCGGCTGGAGACCTCAATTCACTGCTCAAGAAACCGTTTTTGCTAGAAGTATAAACCAAAAGGAAATTCATTTTTTTGAAATCAGTTCTACTTCTGATGCAGTCATCAACTTGAGCCAACCAACATTCAAATACAAAATTGCTGATCCAAAAGCTACTTTCCAATCTTTCCAAGTTTCTCCAGGTAAGAATACCAGTGTTGCCGTTTTCATTCCTGAAAAGGGAGGTAAACCTGCAAATGTTTCTATTTACAATTTCCCAAACTTTTCTCAACCTATTTGCTCAAAGAATTTTTTTAAGGCTGAAAAATGTCAATTGAAATGGAATTCATTGGGTACTGCATTGTTAGCATTGGCTTCTACAGATCATGATACCACTAACAAATCCTACTATGGGGAATCTAACCTTTATTTGATGGGAATTGCTGGCTCCTATGATTCAAGAATTGATTTGAAGAGAGAAGGTCCAATCCATGACATTACATGGTCTCCAACCGCTCGTGAATTTGCTGTCAGTTATGGTTATATGCCATCAGAGACCACATTTTTCGATGCCAGAGGGAATGCGATCCACTCTTTGCCAACCGCACCAAGAAATACTATTTTGTACTCTCCTCATGCTAAATTCGTTCTTGTTGCCGGTTTTGGTAACTTGCAAGGTACAGTTGATGTGTATGATCGTCAAAACAAGTTTTCTAGAGTTGTCACTTTTGAAGCTTCCAATACTTCTGTTTGTGAATGGTCCCCATGTGGTAGATTTATTTTAACAGCTACAACTTCTCCAAGATTGAGAGTTGATAATGGTTGTAAGATTTGGCATGCTAGTGGTAAGTTGGTATATTTGAAGGAATATCCGGAATTGTATTCTATTGGTTGGAAACCACAAGCTTTGGATCAATTCCCACCAATCAAAGCTTTGGAGCCAGCTCCAGAAGCACATACCTCTGCTAAAGAATATTTGGCCAAACGTGAAGCCTCAGCAAGTGCTGCTGCAAAAAAACCAACTGGTGCTTACCGTCCACCACATGCCAGAGGATCCGGTGCTAGTGCTCCTGCTTCATCATTATACCAAAAGGAATTACAAAACAATATGAGAAACAATGGAACTCCACCTCCACCAGGATTATCAAGAAACGGTTTAAATACTCCACGAGTAAGAACTGTTGTTGGTGCGGCTCCTCCAGTTGAAAAGGAAAGTAAGGCTGCTGCCAAGAACAGAAAAAAGAGAGAAGCCAAGAAGCAACAAGAAAAGACTGCTTCTCCTTCTCCAGCTTCTGCCACATCACCTGCTCCAGCTGCTGCAACTAGTGGTGTTATTGGTGGTGTTGCATCTTTGGAAGAAAAGAAGATTAGATCTTTGTTGAAGAAATTGAGAGCTATTGAACAATTGAAGATGAAACAAGCTGCTGGTGAAACTTTGGAAGATACACAAGTTGTAAAGATTTCTAAGGAAGATGAAATTAGAGCCGAATTACAAACGTTAGGTTGGAATGAATAGTATTAAGTGATACTTTATTTTCTATCAATTATTTATTAATTCGATTTTTCCCTGTTTTCTTTTTTTTTTTGTTGTTGTTGTCGTTGTTGTTTTGTTCATCATTTCTGTTAATTTAATTCTTTTGATGTTGTAATCTCTTTAGGTAATGGTAAATCACTTTTGTAAAAAGTATAGAGTCTATGATAATAACGATGAATTGAAATACAAAAACATGGCATATTTATTTAAAGATCTCTTGAGGACTACTTATAATTTAACCACCATTTCGTCACCTTTATATTTTGCAATTATATCTTCAATTTCATATTTCTTAGCAATATGAGGATTAATAAATCTACCACCCAAATAATGAGCGCCATTGAATTTAAGTGCTGCTGGTTTTGGTGCAGTTAAACTTACCAAACAACTGGCACCAATATCCTCACCTATAGGACCATCATCGACATCCCACCCGGAAGGAATATCAACAGCTACAATAGGTGGTAAATTTTCATTATTTGAAGAAAGATATCCAATCAAATCATCAAATGGTGGACGTAATGGAGGTCTGAATGAAAATCCAAATAATGCATCGATAATTATTGAAATTCCTGAATTTCTTTTATCTAGTAAATGCTTGACTTCATCTAAAGTTGATAATTCTTCAACATCTAAATCTTGAAGTTGTTTAACAAGTCGAGAATATAATGGATTCGAAGTTGATTTTTTAGGATAATAAATGATTGGATCATAACTTCCCCAAAGTTTTAAATGACGAGCAGCTACTAATCCATCGCCACCATTGTTACCTGGTCCAACTAATACTAAGATTTTACTAGTTTCTGGAGATGATGGAGGTGGATATTCTTTATGAATAACTTGAGCTACTGCTAAACCAGCAATTTCCATCAATTGATCAATAGAAAATTCTCCAGTGGACATTAATTCTTGATCCAATTGGAAAGCAGATTTGGCTGATAAAGTTTTAAGAAATGATTTTGACATTATTAATGTAGTAGGTTTATACTGAGTTAAATTGAATGTGAATTTTGGAATTTCAATTGAATGTAACGGAATCCCAATTGAAGAAAAAAATATGAGTATACAACCGAATAAATAAATTACAGCAAATAGAATCCAACCTGGTTTTATAGTCGGAGTATACAGTTCGGATTTTGATTTTAAAACTGGTGATTTTTTCTTTTTCATTTTTCTATCTCTCCCCCCAAGTTTTCAACCCCTGAAAAAAAAAATAGAATCTTATTGCTCTTTTGATTCCTGGTTATGTAGAGAAGATTTCTGGATATTTTTATCCATTCGAAAAACCATGTCTGTTTTATAATGAAATCCTTGTGTCCCCCTTGATTCTCTGTCATTATGAAATTAAAAGCATATTACAATCGTCGTAAAGACAATTCTACAGCCAAATCAGGGATTCTTGTTTTACCTTTTATATAAACAAGTAATGTTGCACAAAGCTGAAATGATCACGTGCAGTTTATGAAACCACAATTGGAGAAATGAAAATCGCATGAGTTGTTGTAGCGATTTCAAACTGATAGTTAGTGTGATTAATGTTGTATCAATGTATTGATGAAAACTATCCATTGGCCTTCAGAAACTCAGGAGCTATGGGTTAATTAAGTTGACGGTCTTTTTAATATTCACTTGAATTTTCTCATTCTACACACACACACACACATTCATACTGGCTAACTGTAACTTTTCTTAATTTTACAACATTCCTGTTGCAACGCAAAAGAAAAAACAAACATTTCAAGCTTGTCTGATCGTCTAAATTCCAATACACAACTGATTTGATTGAATTTACTTAAGACTGTGGTTTTACATGCCTTGGAGATTTTGGGCTGATAATGAACTACATCAACAGCACTGCTTTGCAATTACATTAGGGATAAATGTTGGTCATCGACGAGAGAAAGAACGTCCCGTATTCGTTTTGCATTTACTTTGTTAGGTCCGTTGTCTATTTTTTTTTTCCTTTCGTGCGCCTTAATCCAGATTATATTTGTTTTTCTTTGAATTTTAAGAGCCCCTTAAATCAGAATTAAATTATGTATATGTCAAAGAATGCTATTGGTTTTCAAATATGATTTGTTGATAATAATATCAACCATTATTATAATATGGCGTATATCCACATGCTAATAAACCCTATCAGTTCCTCGTAAATCAAGAAAATTGATACCCATTTCTTAATTTCTACCAATTGTTATTGTAAAAGTTTCATTTCCTTATTTTTCGTGTCATCCTGTACATTAACATCTGGTACAAGCAATAATTTTTTTTCTTTCTCTCTTTCTATTCCGTGTAAGAAAAAAAGGCGTGAGTGGAAAAAAAAAAAAAACAACAACAACGAATAACAAAAAAAATACAAGCAACAGGGAAGAAAGAAATAGATAAATAAGTTCTACCAACTCATCTACTTTCCAATATATTCGTTATACCTTTTTACAGTATAAATCAATTTTCTTTTAACAAGTGTTAATTTGGAAATTTTGTTTTATTTTATTGTTTGGACAGTAGTTGTTGTTTGCCAAAGGCTTTCTTTTTTTTTCTGTCCTAGTTTATAAACCTACTACAACAAGTCTTACTATTCAATTATCTTAGTTTTTTCTTTCGTTTTTCATTTTTTTTATTGTCAACTATAAAGTCAACGGCGAAAACTATAATATCAATAATAATAATAATAATAATAATAAGATGTCACAATATAGCTATAGAGGCAGTACAGATAATAGTGAATCCCATCACTCCCCATTGATCAACTATAGAAAAGATGCTAAAAAAGGTATTAAATTCACATTCATGGTTGTTGGTGAAAGTGGTACTGGTAAGACCACATTTATTAACAGTTTGTTGAACAAGAAGGTGTTGAATCATCGTTATGAAAAAGTGGGCCATACTGCTGGTGAAACAAAAACTTTGAGTTTTACTTCAGCTAAATCGGTTGCCTTGCCAAATACTTCTATATTGACTAAAAATGAGTTCAATCCAAGAACCATTAATGAAGAACCGGGAATTGCTTTAACTGAAACTCATATTGAGATTGTTGATGATGATAACCAAAAATTGTTGTTGAATATTATAGATACCCCTGGTTTTGGAGAAAATTTGAATAACGAATTGTGTTTTGTGGAGATTGAAAATTATTTGAAACAACAATTTGATTTGGTTTTAGCTGAAGAAACTAGAATTAAGAGAAATCCACGTTTTGTTGATACTAGAGTTCATGTGATGTTGTATTTTATTACTCCTACTGGACACGGTCTTAGAGAAATTGATATTCAATGTATGAAGAGATTGAGCAAATATGTTAATATTATTCCTGTTATTGGTAAAGCTGATTCTTTTACTCCAAATGAATTACAATACTTCAAGCAACAAATCAGAATTGATATTCAAAAATTCAATGTTCCAACTTTTCAATTTGATAACTCATTGGATGATTATGATGAAGATGAGGATTATGATTTGATTCAAGAATGTAAGTTTTTAACCAATTTACAACCTTTTGCCGTCATCACTTCAGAAGACGTGTTTGAAGTTTCTAACAATGGTGAACAACCAAAGATTATAAGAGCAAGAAAATATCCGTGGGGTTTGGTGGATATTAACGACACTAGATTTAGTGATTTCCCAATTTTGAGATCTGTATTGTTGGGTTCACATTTACAGGATTTGAAGGATTTGACACATGATTTCTTGTATGAAAGATACAGAACTGAAAGATTAACCAAAGTTACTGGTAATGGGCAAGCTTTCGAAGATGAAGAAGGTGATGATGGTGAATTCCACGATACTGTGGAACACCAAGTTAATGAAACTCGTGAGAGAGGTGGTTTACAAGACAATTCGACTATTCCTTCGTTATCCAATTTGGCACAGTTGACTAACGGAAATGATAATAGTTATAACAACCATAGCAATGTCAATGGCGATAATAATTCAATAACTTCTGCAAGTTCATCTATCAAAAAGTCCAGCTCAATGTTGATTGATGATGACCATCATACACCTAAATTGAAGAATCTCAGTTCATTCACATCATCAACTTCTACAGTATCGCTTGAAAATGGCGAGAAGGAGAAGGACAGGGCACCAAACAACAATGCCTTTAAGAGATTATCTATTGGTCCACAACGTAATCAATTGCGTCAAATTTCAGAAACTGTGCCATATGTGTTGAGACATGAGAGAATTTTGGAAAGACAACAGAAATTGGAAGAAATGGAACAAGCAAGTGCCAGAGAATTAGCCAACAGAGCTGCACTTTTGGAAAAGAAGGCTGCGGAATTAAAAGCTAAAGAAAAGATTTTAAGACAATTGGAAATGGCAAGAGCCGAGCAACTGGCTAATTCTAGTTTGCACAGAAATGAAAGTAATGTTGATGGAGAACAAGAAGAAGAAATTACCACCAGATATGATAATTCTGAATATCAACATGATGATAGTACACCTAATTACGAAACTTCAAGGTTGCAAAAGGATGAAACATTGACAGACTTGCATTCAATTGTAAGTAATGGTCATTAAGAAAGTACATTCAAATAAAAAATACTAAAACAAAAAAAGACAAAAAAAAATAGAATAATTGTGTCGTAATTCTTGTTTAACTAAATACAAACAATCCAACAAGGGAAACTGAAGTGAATAGTCTAAAGGACAGATTTTATAGAAACCTTGTGAAATTTTATATTTTGAAAATATGTATATTTTTTTTTTCTTTCTTCATCTTTCTTTTACTATAATTATTATTATTTCTTTTTGTCTTTCTTTCTTTCTTTTATTAGAAAATATATATATGTTAGACTGTTTTATTAAATAATGTGCTTATACGGTTTTATGGAGTAAAAACGTTTGACGAAGAACTCCGCAAACAGTTATTACGGAATACTGCCTTGTCTCTAAATCATGCACTTCGAAATGGTGGGGATAGGTTTTCTTTTTTTTTAATGCAAAATGATGAATATTGCATCAATTCGTGCATATTGACAAAAAAATTATAGAATGATTAGAATGCCAAAACAGCAACGGTTGCTTGAAACTTAATCCAAGAGTTTTTATTTTTTTACTTCTTAATTTGTTTGTGAATGACAGAAACTAAGTGGGGAAGAAAGGAAGTTTTTCTTTTACAAGGAAAGATAGAAAACAGTTGGAATCATTCAGGATAAATTCGGAATATTTTTAGACTACATCTAGACTTAAGAAAATTGCCAAAAAAACTATTAGGCATTTTGTTATTGGATGGACGGAGGAGTATGAAAACCTCCACAAACACAAGAGATGTACTCATCCCGGAGTTGATTGTACACAAGGGGAGCAAAAATGAAAATAAAAATAAAAATTGAATCATCTCATAATCCCTAAACCCCACAAAATTTAATCACATTGCTATGGCTAAAATTTAAAAGTGTTAAAAAAAAAAGAAAAGGAAAGAAACCGTTAAAAATGCCTTACACGGAAAATAGACCAAATAGAAAATAGAAATTGCCCTTTTGTGACTGTGAAATGTGATTGTTTCAAAAGAAGCGCCTATTATTTGAGTGGTAAAAAGAAAGGACAATAAATACCACAGAAGAGAATGAAAGAGAACTAAAAAAAAAAAAAATCCAGTAATGGGCGGCAAGACAAAAGTTTCTTTTTATACTCAATAGTTCAAATACTTGGCTCTCACCAACATCACCATCATTACGATTCAATGATAAGTTTCTATTTTGTTTCTCTTCATACTCTCCTGAGGATGTCTTAGATCCGTCGTTCCCAGCCGCGTCATCATCCCTTATCGTGTCACCTGCTGAGTGTTGATGAGAGACGGGAGCTGAACCCCGAAAGAAAAAAAAAATAAAAAAGAAAACGAAAAATCGGACCAGTCAGGGTTGAAGAAAAAATTGACTCTGTCGTATACGCTGCGTCTAAGAACGCCTTGCAAAGGGCTGAACTTGATCTCATCCGGTGGGAAATGAAATTCAACCGAAAAAGTAAAGACAACAACTCATTCGATATGGTCAAAATTTTCCCCTACTAGTCCGATAATTGGCATTCACTAAACGGAGGGAGGGGATACTGAATCTCAGCTAAGGATTCTTAAGCATGTTGACATATGCTAAGAAAAAAATAAAAGAACCAAATAATAATGAATTGATAGTGGCCAATATAGATAGGATATTTCTTATCTTTGGAATTATCCAGCTCAATAGAAAAAGAAATAAGGACAATGTTCCGGAACTTCTGACAAGATGTTCCTGGGACTAAGCTATTTTTTTATATACATTTTTCCTTATTGTCCACTGACAGTCATCTCATCTCATATTGTCTATTTTGAAGATTTCCTTTAAGCATCTTGCTTCAATCTTGATTACAAAATTAACAAAGAAAAAAAAAAGTAGAGAAACGATAAATCAACGTTTCGAATAAACCATTGGTTAATCCAATGGATCTTGATAGCAACTTATCTTTACGGCATTTTTAACATGTAGTTGGGTTGGGATAATACGCTCCCACAGCAGTAGTTAAAAAAGAAAAAAAGAAAAAGAAAAAGAAAGCTAAATTTTGACGCACCTGGAATAATTTAAATTTCCCGTATTTTTCTTGGCACCTACATAATCAAAATGCCAATATGCAGGATTCTCGGTGGTACACTTTTTGCTTTTCTTTCTGTGTCAATTTCGTATCAACAGCCATATTAACTTTATAATGAGTATACAGTTGAAATGCCCTTTAGGATTCCGTGATAATACTTTTGCTCCTCCTTCTACTACTTCTGCTCCTCTCTGATTCTATTATCTCCACTTTCAAGATTAACGAACCACAAATTTAATGAGCTTTCCTGCATGCACTATCTTGGTTCTTTTTTTTTTTAACTCGTTAATAATATTCACCATATTGTAACTTGACTGTTATTTTAATTCACAGCTAATGCATTGTTGCGATTTGAATGACATTGGGACTTGGGAATTTAAATTTTTATGATTCTATGAAAAAAAGAAATAGAGAAATTTCATAGTTCCTATAAAATGGATTGCATTTTTCCCAGTTTTTTATTTATTTAATAGATACGTTTTATTTCTACTCTTTCTTTTTAAAACTTCATATACTTTTTTGTATTTTATTTTTGAATTACTACAATTATATATAACTGCATTTCAAGCTAGCTTGTTATTTATTTATATTCATCGTTATTGATACTTTATTTTATTTTTTGTTTGTTTGTTTCCCCCACTTCATCCTACTTTCGCATCCAATCTTTATTTTATAAATTCACATTTATTTAAATTCCCAATTCCTATTTTTTTTATTTTAGATTAACTACAATTATATCATGGTTTTCGGGTTTTCAAACGAGAAAGATCAAGCTATAGAGGAAAAGAGATCTTCAGGAGTTGACTTGGAGTCAGTTCTTTCAAATCATACCAATAATTATGATCTTTATGTCGCCAAATCCAATCCTTCAGTACACAATATTGCTGAAGAAGGGCATCAATTACGTAAAAAAATGGATGCAAGACATACAAGTATGATTGCTATTGGTGGTGCTTTAGGTACTGGTCTTTTAATTGGTACTGGTCTGGCTTTGAAAACAGCAGGTCCAGGTGCTATTTTAATTTCTTATGGTGCCATTGGTTTTGTTGTTTATATGGTTATGACTGCTCTTGGTGAAATTGCTTCTTTTATTCCATTACCAGGTTTTGCCAATTATGGTAAAAGATATGTTGATGAAGCTTTGGGTTTTGCATGTGGTATTGTTTATCTTATAAAATATTTGGTTCTTCCGGCAAATCAATTGACTGCTGGTGCTTTAGTTATGCAATATTGGGTCAGTAGAGAACGTGTTAATCCTGGTGTTTGGATCACTGTGTTCCTTGTCTGTATCACTGCCATTAATTTCCTCGGTGTGAGATTTTTCGCAGAAATTGAATTCTGGTTGAGTGTTCTTAAAGTTATTGTTTGTTTGGGTTTGATTCTTTTGTTGTGGATTATCGCATTAGGTGGTGGTCCAACTCATGACAGAATTGGGTTCAGATACTGGCAACACCCAGGGGCTTTTATTGAATACCATAACTCCACCATGGGTGTTGATATCACTGGTCCTAAGGGTAGATTTGTTTCATTTGTTGCTGTCTTGGTTAGTGCAGTTTTCGCTTACCTTGGTTCTGAATTAGTTGCCATTACTTTCAGTGAAACCAGAAACCCAAGAAGAGCTATTCCAAGAGCCATTAGATTGACTTTGTACCGTATCCTTGTTTTCTACATCTTATCCATCTTGTTTGTCGGTATGTGTGTCTCTGCAAAGGATCCATTATTATTGGGTGCTTCAGGTACCAATGCCGGAGCCAGTCCTTTTGTTATCGCAATTAAGAATGCCAAGATTGGTGGTTTGGACCATTTGATTAATGCTTGTATTCTTTTGTTTGTCCTTTCTGCTTCTAATAGTGATATGTATGTTTGTTCCAGATCTGCATACAGTTTGCTGGTTGATGGATATCTTCCAAAATTCTTTTCCAAGACTAACTCACTTGGTGTTCCATACTATGGTGTTACTTTAAGTTTCTTGTTTTGTTTATTGGCATACATGAATGTTTCATCAGGTTCAGCTGTTGTTTTCGGTTACTTTGTCAATGTCGTTTCTTTAACTGGTTTGATTGCTTGGGCCTGTATTTTAGTTTTCCACATTAGATTCATGCAAGCTTTGAAAGCTCAAGGTCTTGATAGAAACAGAGATTTGGTTTACAGATCCCCATTACAACCATACGGTAGTTGGATTTCCTTATGTCTTTGTGTTGTCATTATTTTCATCAAAAATTTCACTGTTTTCTTGGGTGATAAATTTGATTACAAGAATTTTATCACTGGTTATATTGTCTTGCCAATCTTTATCATCATGTTTGTTGGTTACAAGATCATCTATAAGACTAAATGGTTGAAATCCGAAGAAGTTGATTTGGATACTTTCAGAGATGTTATTGATGCTGAATTTGAAAAATTTGAAGCTGAAGATGCTGAAAGAAAAGCCATTAGAGAAGCTGAAGGCAAACGTTTCGATGGTGCTTGGTTTTATGACAAATTCTTGGGATGGATCTTCTAGATTAAGTCGTTTGTTTAATTTTTGTAACTATTATTATTTATCCTTTTTTTAATTCACGATTGTCATTTAATTATTTTCACGATTTAATTTTGTAAATCTGTTAAAATGATATTTAAATATTTTTAGTTGAATTTCGTTGCAAAAAATTAGCAAAACATATTTACCACCATAATGAATTTTACGTACACTGGTAAATGAAAATGATCCTTAATACATTTGATTATCCAATGGAAGGGTTCAGTAATGTAATACATTCATGATGCATCAATTATAAATTAACAAATGTAATTCTCCCAATATGAGTTTCCACATGTCAATACATAAATTGCTTACACTTTCAACAAATCGGGTCTTATGGCTCAGTTGTTAAAATATTGCCTTGCTGGCGAAATTGGTTATCGCTTTTGACTTCTAATCAAAGGATTCTGGGTTCGAGTCCCAGGTAGGGTTTATTTTTTTCTTTAGCACAATCTTGATTTGCGTGCAAGTGCAAAGTACTTGTCCTTTTTTTTTTAAAGAAAAATGAATTTTTGTTAAATACAAACTGAATGGTACACTACGTCTAACTAATGCCGATCACCAAATCTAACAAACCAAGATGTATTTCATAGGTTAAATTAAAATGATTCAAGAACTGTTAGTTCCTGTCCAATTATTACTTTCTTTTTTTTTATCATTCTCTAGAGACTAAATTACCTAATGATTGTTCTTTATTGTTGCTAACGTGAAATCTGTGATGTTGAAGTCGTGTACAATTGTCAAATTTGATTTTTTTTTTTTGTACAAAGTCACACACACATTGTATAGTGTGTTGCCAATGAAACTGTCTTTCCAGTAACAAAATCACTAAGAAACAGCGAGAAAAAAAATAAAAAAGATTCTTGCCATCTTAATAGAATTTCTTTTTTTTTTTTTTTGATTTTTATTTTTGTTTTGGCTGTCTTCGCCTTACAAAACGTATTACCTGCATTTTTTATTCCTTCCATTCTTTTAATCTTTTTACTCAAGATTCAAAATTTTTCTTCTTTGGTTAACAGGTATATAATACACTTTTAATTTAGTAGGCTGAATCAATTTTTAGTGATTTGCAATTGACCATCATTTCATCTTCTGTCAGATCAAGAGAGAAATTGCGAGTGAGTAAAGTGAGAGCGTGAGAGAGAGCGAAAGAGAAAAAAAGAGCCGAAAAACAAAAAAAAAAAAGAGAATTATAGCAACAGGTGAATTTTTTTTTTTCTTTTTGTTGTTGTTAAATTAAATTAAAGAAAACAAGTAAAAAAAAAAACCTTCAGTCCCCAGTTCCCATATAGACACCACATACCTTTCATATACTTGTCAATAATGGATATCCTTCAAATATTAGAAGCTGCATTAGGTGGGGTCGCTGACCAAAACCAAAGAACGCAAGCAGAAATTCAATTAAACGATGCAGCAAACAACCACTTTCCGGAATATGTTCAATTATTGATTGAAGCTTTGATCAATGAGGATGCCAAAACAGAAGTAAGAATGTTGGCTGGTATTGCATTAAAGAATCAATTGGTTTCAAAAGATAATAAAGTTAAATTGGCTCAACAAGACAGATGGTTGAAATTACCTGAAGACTTGAAAGATAAGATCAGAGGATTAGCATTACAGGGTTTAGGTATAACCAATCAAAAAGTTGCCAATACAGCTGCACAATTAGTTGCCGCTATTGCTGATATCGAATTACCAAGAGGTCAATGGCAAGAATTGATCCCAAGAATTATTCAAAACACCAAACCGGAGAATCCAGAAAACATAAAGAGAAGTTCTTTGTTGACTATTGGTTATATCTGTGAAAGTTCCGATCCAAATAATCCAAATATCTTAAACCAAGCAAGTGGTATATTGATTGCTATTGTTCAAGGTGTTCAAAGTAACGAACCTTCCAAACAAGTAAGATTAACTGCCTTGAATGCATTGGTTAATTCTTTGGAGTTTATCAAATTTAATTTTGAAACCGAGGGGGAAAGAAATTACATCATGCAAGTTGTATGCGAAGCAACTCAAGCAGATGATGCAGAATTACAAGCTAGTGCCTTTGGTTGTCTTGCTAGAATCATGTCCTTGTATTACCGTTACATGTCACTTTATATGGAAAAGGCTTTGTATGGATTGACCATTTCAGGTATGCAAAGTGCTGATGAAAAAGTTGCATGTATGGCAGTTGAATTTTGGTCAACTGTTTGTGAAGAAGAATTAGAAATTGCATTACAAAGACAAGAATTGGGATTAGATCCATTACAAGCAGCTCAAACCCCTGACTTAGTCTCATATAATTTTGCTCTTGTTGCTTCAACAGAAGTCTTACCAACTTTGTTGACCTTGTTAACCAGACAAAACGAAGATCCTGAAGATGATGATTGGTCAGTTGCCATGGCTGCTGGAGCTTGTTTGCAATTATTTGCTCAAAACATTGGTAATTATGTTGTTGATCAAACTATAAATTTTGTTGGTTCTAACTTGACAAATACAGAAAACTGGAGAGCTAGAGAAGCTGCCGTTATGGCATTTGGTTCTATCTTAGATGGTCCAGATCATGAACAATTGAAGACAGTCATTGCTCAAGCATTACCACCAATCCTTACTTTGATCAAAGATGACAATTTGCAAGTTAAAGAAACCGTTGCTTGGTGTCTCGGTAGAATTGCTGATATGGTGATTGATGCTATTGACATTCAAACTCAATTAGAACCATTATTGCAAGCTTTGATTGAAGGGTTGCAAGATCATCCAAAAGTCTCTACCAATTGTTGTTGGACTTTGATGAACTTGACTGAACAATTGTGTACTGATGGTTACGACAATGACACTACTACCATGTCACAATATTACCCAACTATCATTCCAATTTTAATACAAACATCTGGTAGAGGTGATAATGAATACAGTGCGAGAGCTTCTTCTTACGAAGCACTTTCCACTTTTGTCACTTATAGTGCAAGAGATACTATGCCAATTGTTCAAAACATTGCTACTGAAGTCTTGGCCCGTTTAGAATCCACCATCATGTTACAAGGTCAAGTTAGTACCACTGAAGATAGAGGTAACTTAGAAGAATTACAATCCAACATCTTGTCATTGTTGACTAATGTTATTAGAAGATTGGGTAGCGAAGTTATCGTGGCTTCCGATAATTTAATGGATAGATTTATCAAGTTGCTTGATGCTCAAGAACAAAACTCCTTGATTGAAGAAGATATATACATTGCCATTTCTGCTCTAGCCAGTGCCATTGGTGAACAATTTGTTAAGTATTTGCAACCATTTTTGCCATATTTGACTAAAGCCTTGACTAATGTTGAATCTCCAACTAGTATTACTGCTGTTGGTTTAGTTGCTGATTTGGCACAATCATTAGGACCACAAATGAACAATTATTGGAGTGGTATTTTACAATTATTGGGTGATGCCTTAACCAGTCCAAACTCCAAGAGAGAATTGAAACCAGCAATTGTTTCTGCATTTGGTGATATTGCTACTGCTATTGGACCTGAATTTGCCCCATATCTTGAATTTGTTTTGAAGACTTGTACTGAAGCCAGTAACATTCAACCTGAAGACGGAACTATTGAAACTTTGGACTATGTTTTCAATGTCAGAGAAGCAGTATTGGATTGTTTTGTTGGTATTGTTGGTGGATTTATCAACGAAGCACGCGCATTGGCTCCAGCCATTGGAACTATATTTGAATACATTCATAAAGTTGCGCTTGATCCACAAATGTCTAGCACCGAATCTGTTGCTAGATCTGCTGCTGGTCTCTTAGGTGATATTGCTGCCATGTATCCAAATGGTGAATTCAAAGCTGCTTATGCTGAAGCATGGGTTACTGATTTCATCAAGAGAACCAGATCCAATCCATTATTTGACAACAAGACTAAGGATGCAGCAAGATGGGCCAGAGATCAACAAAAGAGACAACAACAACTTTTGGGTCAATAAGGAAGAATCAACCCCGAAAGTCATACACACACATAGTTCTTTTTCTTTCATTATCTCTAAATATTGTCAAATTATCAAAAAAAGAAAAAAAAAAATCCATAAAGAAACCATTCCATTTGAATAATTGAAAAAAAAAAATGAAAAAAAAAAATTACATTCTTCCATCCTCTCCTCATAATTTTTTTTGACATAATTCCATTACATACAATTTACCTCTAATGCCTCTTTTTACCTTTGATGACTTTTTTTTTTAAACTAATTTATATATATATATTTCACATTTTTATTATTAATTATTATCATTTATGGTTGTTTGATTTTAGGTCTCCTTATCTGGTTTATTATTATTATTTTGTTTTTTTTTTTGTTTTTCCTACCATCCCCATCATTATTCATAATATAATTATCCTTTTTTTATTGATTCATTTTCCTACTTTATACAAATTTATTATATATAATTTACATAGCTCTTTCTTTTTATACATTCTAATTGGTGTCTTTTTTTCTTCTTCAGTTTTTATTTATATATAGAAACAATTTAAGTATATTTGCATCTAATTTTCCTGTAAGTTACTCCGATTCCGTAGACCTATAGGTTGCTATTGTTCTAAATATATATATATATAATTTAGACTTGAAACAATAATTGATTTGCCCAAAAGGAGTTCTAACTGCAAAATTAATTAATTAGCTTTCTATAATTGGTGCAAAAAAAAAAAGAAACCCAAGAGTTGATTGATAAATAATCTAAAATACCCAAGCAATAATAATTATAATTATGCAGTTTTAATTACTAGCTTCTAATTGAAAGGGGGAAGGGCAGTGAAAAAAAATAATATAATTCTAGATATGTATAATTAAATCGGCGATTCTATATCAGTTGGAAGTTCAACTGCAAAACAAAAAAACACCAAAAGGGGGCGACTCAATAGAAAAAAGGGCGTTAAAGAGGCGTTGAAAAGGCATTTATTCACATATAATCCAATTATCAACTATTGTAAAAAGCAAAAAGACAAAAAAAGAAACAATGAATCTCTAGTGTCATGGAGACAATAATATTAATAATAGATCACATAGTTAGAATTTAATCTAATTTGATAAGATCTACGAACTAAATCATTGTAAATCAAACCTTTTGAATTATCACCATTACAATAATATCTGTCATGATTATTTTCTCGTGTTTCTTTGGTTCATGACCTGATTATACACTACGAGATCGTCCTTCCCCATAGTCAGAAAAAAAAAAGAAAGAAGATAAAGTCACGCAGCTCACCAGCACGTGAATTCATCAGAAATTAAACCAAAAAAAAAACTCGAAGATGGAAAAAAAAAAAGTAATATAAGTAACGCACAAAAGTTTTGATGTTTTCGATTCTTTAATTTGTTGCCCATACACCAAAACAACAATACAATAGAGAAAACGTTCTGGTATTATAATTCTTTGTTTAATTTATTATCATCCGTTGAATATATTTGTGTATTCAACAAAACATTCCTTCACTTCCCCTTTTTCCATCAGAAAAGAAATACTAGCGGAGAATATCTTCCACTATTAATATCATTGTCTATTTTCCCAATCATTTTTCAATAGAATAATAGATCTGTTACTTGATTTTTTTTTTGCATCCTTTTCTTATTATTATTAATATTTTTTTGACATCTTACATTGTTATTTACATTTGGAGAAAAGTGAACTGATTCTTTTTATACCCTTGGATAAATACCCGTTTCATTGTTTTTCCTCCTTTCATTAAATCCAGCATTTTTCCCCTTGTTTTATATTTTGCATTATTTAAAGAGCTTATATTTTCTTCTATTCCTATATTCCTATATTCCTATTTTCATTAATAACTACTCATCAATGAATTCTACAGTATATAATCCTATTCCTTTTGATCATACTTATTTATTATATGATCCAAATGATTTAATATCATATATATGTGTTCATTTTTCATTGTTACCAATTTATATAATGGTATATTATACATCTTGGTTTTTAATAACAAGAGAAATAGAACCAGTTATTATAGTTGGTGGACATCTTGTTAATGAAGTAATTAATAAAATTGTTAAATTTCTTGTTAAATCTCCAAGACCTAAATTCCATGCTGATTTTGGATCAAATAGTAAATATGGTTTGACTTATGGTTTCCCATCTGCTCATTCTCAATTTATGGGATTTTTTGTTGGTTATTATACTTGTATTGTCTTATTTAAAATTCCTAACATGCCAAAGAAACATAAAAGAATTATTTGTATAATGGCTGTATTAAGTATGTTTGGTGTTGCCTTTTCAAGAGTTTATTTGTTATATCACTCTTGTGTTCAAGTGATTGCTGGATTGATTGTTGGTGTTACTTTTGGTATTGCTTATTTTGAAATAACTAGTATGATTAGAGATTTAGGTATTGTTGAATGGGTATTGAATTGGCCAATTGTGAAATTTTTTTATGTTAAAGATACTTATTATTATAATTATCAAACTTTTGCTCAAGAGTATCAAACTTATCAAAAACTTAAATTGAATAAGAAGAATCAAAAAGTAAAAGAAATCTGATCAATTAATAAAAACAAACAAACAAAAGAAAGGAATTAGTTATTTTAATCTATTCAAATTAACACACGTGTATGTAATATATATATATATAACAAGTTATATGAATCATAAATTAGATGATTGTTTTTTTTTTCTTTCGTATATTCCATTTCCATTAGAGCCAGTAGAATATAATCTCTTTAGAAATCATCCCATTTATCATCATCATCGTTCTTCTTGGCTCCACCAGATAAACTTTGATATTTGACACCATTTTCAGGTTTCTTGAATCCAAAAGCACTTGGAACATTATCATTCTTCTTTTCACCGAAAATTCCACCTAACCCATTTTCATTTATATCTTTAGTAAAACTTTGGAAAGTTTCTTGACCATATTTACCAGTTTCTTGCATTTTTTGACCAAATTGAGCCATGGCCTTTTTAGCTTCACCGGTAATTTCACTAGATTGTATTTGATTTATACCTGGTTTTATCACAGATTCATTGACTTCTTGAACTGATTTGGCAACAGAAGATGAAAACAAACCCCAACCTTTAGTAAATGTACCAAGAGGATCTTTTTGAAAATTATCTAATGTAAATGATGAAAATGAACTGTTTGTACTGTTACTTACCACTGGTGCTGGTGTATTTCCAAAACCACCATATTTCCCACCTTGAGATGGTGGTAAATGATCTGGTCTTTGATCATTCTTAGCACCCAAATCAGCAAAATATGCTTCATTTTTTTGTTTTTGTTCACTAGTCAATGGTGCAGGACGACCTTTTAAAACAGTACCAGTTTTGTTACTATTATCATCATCAACATCATTGATACTTGGTAATTTTTCACCACTATGATCCTTAGGTACAAATTCTTTACCTTCAACTTCTGATGTCAATAATTCTTTATAATCTTCAGCAACATAATTATCGTATTTTTTCTTTGGTGGTAAATTTAAATCAATTCCATTACTAACAAAATAATTCTTTAATCTTTCGTTACCACCAATTTCCATTCTTAAAGTTTCTTCAGGTTTAAATTGATCCATTGTAATTGATCTAACAAAAGAAATATGAACACCTAAACCTCTATGAACACCGGCACATTCTAAACAAATGAAAATACCAAATTTTGGTGAAGCCCATTGTGGATTTGGGGCGGCACAATCAAAACATTTCTTATTTTCACCTGTTTTTTGCAAGTTTAACAACTTTCTACGAGTTTCTGGATCGATGGATGACATGATAGACGCGTTATAAGATCAAAAAGGAAACGGAGGAGGAAGACAAACTGATCTATAGAAGGAACGGAGTCGGCACTAGAATAAAGAATACTTTGTAGAAACGGCTATCAATTCAAAAGAGAAAGAAGGAAAGAAAGAAAAAACAGAAGGAGAGAATTGAAAACACAAGCTGTTCAGTTGTTAAATTTTTTTTTTTTTTTTCCTTGTAATTGAACACCCAAAAGTTCTGTGCGAGAAAATTTTCATTGTTTCTTTTTTTTTTTTTCTTTTCTTTGGCTTCTGATAACAAAATGTGACACGCTAAAAGTAAAAACAGGACTGATTCACACGACCTTTAAGATTTCATTCGATCGGCGTAAAAGACTACCTATACAAGGTGACTATTTATAATTTACCAACTGGATCACTGTTGGCTTTGGTGATAGATACTGGGTAATCAGTAGCACCAACACCAGAGGAGATTTGCCAAGAAGCACCGTCAACAACCAAAACATCACCAGTGACAAAAGAAGCTGCTGGGGAAAACAAATAAACAGTACCATCAGCAATATCTTGAGTAGTACCTAATCTTTGCAATGGAACCTTCTTGCTAGTTTGATCTTTACTGGCTCTAGATAATCTCAGTAAACCTTCAGTACCATCAATTGGACCTGGTGCAATACAATTTGATCTGATACCCAATGGACCCAATTCAACAGCAAAAGCATTACTCAAAGCATCGACACCAGCTTTAGCAGCACCAACACCAATTTGATAAGGAACACCATAATAATGTAAAGTTGCACTAACAAATAAAATAGCACCTTTATTCTTTCTCAATTGATCAAATGTTGCTTTAACTGTATTGAAAGAACCCAATAAATCAATATCAACAATTGATTTAAAAGCATTCGAAGATAAATGATTAAAATCACACAAGAAATTACCTGCAGCACCAGCAATAACATAATCAATTCTACCTAATTCAGCAACAGTTTTATCAACAGCTGATTTTAAACTATCAATCTTACGAACATCAATACCACCAACTCCTAAAACTTTAGCACCTGATCTTAAACTTGCAATTTCTTTGGCTGCAGATTCAGTTTTTTCAACATTTCTACCAATAATTGCTGCATTGGCACCCAATAAAACCATAGCTTCTGCTTGAACACGACAAATTGAACCTGCTCCTCCAGTGATAAAAACAACTTTACCTTTGAATAAATCTGGTTTCCAAGAACTTTCTTGAACATAGGATTGAGTTAAAGTATTTGGCATGATGAAAATGAATAATTAAAACTAATAGAATAAAATGAAATAAAACACGGTTGATTAGGAATAGGAAATCAATATAAAAAAAATTTTTTTCTGTGTGGTGGATACGACTGTGATAATATATATATATATTTATATGTATTTGCCCAACAGTTGATTACTTTACCATATGAAAAATAAGAATTTGACAATTAGAGTACAACATGCATGCCTTAAGTATTTTTTTTCCCTTATAGACAGGCAAAATTGTGGAGGTGAAAATAAAGTGGAGGAGGGGTGAGGGTTGTGTTCTTGCCGAAATAATCATGCACCAGAACTTTTAAAGACCTCGGCAGCAAAGACACAGAGAAAGAAAGAAAAAAATATGTGCACCACAAATTTCTCTTGTCTTGTCTTCTGTTTTTATTTCAGTAGGCTTATTGTTTTTTTTTTTTGCAGCTTAAGAAGTCCTGTCATTATCGGAATGCAAACCCACCACAACTGCAGCCGTGTTTCAAATACCATCATTTCTAATTAAAAAAAATTCAAACAGAAAAACGTAAACTATATGATTACCGATGAACTACAAAAAGTTATTACTTGACCATTAATTAAAAAATACATCTCCTATTAACCGACCCCCTTCTATAACAACTACAGTTGATCACTGGTAATGGCTGTCAATGCAACTTTACCGAAATTGTCATTGTTCGCTGTGGTCTTGTCATTAACTTCCATACGTTTGCTTGTTTCAGTTTCGGAGTTTTCTTCTCTAGGTCTCTTCTTACCCGAGGAATCGTCATCATCTCCACGCATTGTACATCCATTCACCATTAAATCTTGATCTTCTTCCTCTTCTAGTTCATCATTGATTGGAGTAGAGGCATTATTCGGTACCATTTCATCCTCGGATAGACCCAAATCATCTGTTTTAATCTCAACTATTTCATCCACATCATCATCATCATCATCAATAATTCCTCCACTGTGAACTCCATTGGAACTTAGGCCTCGGGTTTCATTCTCCACCAAATCAACCAATTTCCTACCAGTAGTCACATAATTTAATTTATTCCTAACAAAATCATCATAATTGTTGCAAATGTATTTTGCCAACAAAATATAATTGGTTCGTTTGTTGGGATTAATATTCTTATCACAATTTCTGTTGATCATTTCAAGAAAATCCAAACATGTTGAATTGGCCAAATTATTTTCATCAACAACAGTTTCAAAAAACTTGAAGAAAAACACCCACACATCCTGAGTGATGGTATACCTCGTGTAGAACTCATCATTCAACAAAATCAAATTTTTCAAACATCTGATGCTTGCTAATTTCAATACTATTTTGCACTTGCTAGATAATAACTTTGCAATACCCAGTATAATATGGTTTTCCAAAAAAAAAGTTCTAGATACCGGAGATTTATGTTCCCTAGTGCAAAATGATACTAATTCACAGAGCAATTGGTATAACAACTCATCTTTTCGAACATCAACCATCACATCACTGGAATTACCCAAATCAATTAGTTTCTTGAACAATTTCACAGCAACTTCTGTATAAAATGCATTGAAGTAATTCTGTGTATTGATCTCTTTGAATTCATCTGGAGCAAATTTATACTCATCATTTCCATTTGATCCAGGAAATACTCCACCACCAATCGTGGGGCTGATACCACTATTCCCACTGCTGGCAATATTTGGATCTAGCAATGTCTTCAACGCTTCAAATGCTTGATGTTTCAACCCAACGTTTTTTTCTTCAACCAATAATTTACTGAGTATGGATATTAGCGTCATATCATCTGACAATTTCAAGCCAGTATTTTTCGACGATATATTTCGATCCTCCACCGATTCGTCACTCTTCTTTTCATTTGGATGTGCGTGTGTCAATTCCTCAAGAATTGGAGGATCCGAATTATCTATAGTGGCTTCGTCATGGTCAATAGCGTTCACCAAAGACACATCTTGTTCAATAATTATGACAATTAATTCTGTTCCCAAAACCCTTATTTGATCTTCAATATCTCTCAATGCAAAGTTAATCATTTTCAACAACCCTGATTTAACCAATAATGAAAAAAAATCCAGGTTCTGTAGAGTTCGGGCAATGAGAACATACTGATGTACCATCTTCACTCCATCCCTTTTCTGGGATATTATGCCCTCTTCATTATGCAGCCCATTAGTTTGATTATTCTCGTCATCATAGATTTTAAATAATTGCTCTAGGATACAAGCATCCTTAATGAACTCGAAAATTTCCATCTGGTTTGCATATATCAACGACGCCAATAAACCGAATGTTGGCTCATCAAGGAATCTTGCTAATACAACATCTTTTAGATAATTCAAATAAAAGTCTCGTTTAAATATTCCAATGTTTCCTACAGGTATCACAGTCGTAAATGCCTGCTTCGTAAGATATTCCCTGTGAGATGCTTTGAAATCTGGGTATTCCGAATCATACTCCAATATACCAACTAAGCCCATGATTTTCTCTTCTGAAGACAACATATTCTCCAAGATAGATGATTCATTATATAGGAATAACGATTTGATCACATCACTTACAGCATATAATGTCTCAATATCTTTATTTTCTTCTGCTTCGGTAAATACTTTCACCAATTTCATAAAATATTCCTTCTCAACAATGAAATCCAGAATATTAGTCCTGGTATACTGTGCATTAGCTCCTTGATTCACGGTTTCTAAAACTTCACATATATTCGATGCATTCGGTTCTTCTGGAGGATATCGTATTGGACCCGTTATTAGCTCAGTGATGTCGTCACCTTCGTTAGAATTAGGTATCACATAATATAGGGATATTCCAGGACTGAAATTCCCTTGCTGAACACGTATTATAAAATCACACAAATCTGCACATCCCTCGGTCTCCTGGAACGACAATGCCAAATCTGAACCATTAGAATCTGTCCATACAATTAGAGTTTCCTGTTGTCTTTGATACTGTATGGATCCTTCAAGAAATGATTTTAATATTATATTATCTGAATCTTGTTCATTGCGAACCAAAAAATATGGTGATCTGGTTTCCCTATCGATTTCTCCAATACAAAATCCTGTTCCGTTATCTATCCAGTCATCACCATTTAGTAGGTATACTTTAACTCTTCTTGGTGTTCTTCCTGCACCTTCAAGTACTTTTAATTCATCTTCCAGAATGCATGGCTTTGATTTTAAATTTGTATCTATATTTGAATTTGAATTGGGAGATAACGTCCTCACGTCATCAGATTGCGTGTCGGTTTTTATCATCCGTGATTAAAGAATCTCTTTCCTTGGTACGCAAATAAAATCAACAATCAAATAAATAATTCTGCAATAATAATAATCAAAAGAAAAAAAAAACCAAGACGTGATTGTGAATTTGAATATAGTTAAAATTGTACACGAGTCAATAGCTAATCCAGAGTATTTTTTTGGCTTTGTTTATTAGGGGGCGACGGGTTGCAACTTTGATGATAATTGAAATATTAATACAAGAATTTAAAACTGAAAAGTAAAGGAAAAAAATCACGTGAGGTGATTTAGTAATGAAACAGTAAATGAATAATACAAAATGGTGGTAGCTTGACTAGATGCAAGTTTCTATTCTAAAGATGGGTATCCTATTTTGGTTTTGGTATGTCAATCGATAGAAAAGATTGAACCAGCAAGAAAAAAAAAATCAAAGAGGAACGGTGCGTCTTTTTGGTTCTTTTTTTTTGTGGTGAATGATTTTTTTTTCTCTCTCTCTCTTTCTACAACGCAGGTTTTTTTTTTTTTTGGAAAGAGCGCGTCGTGTTTCAATGTCGCGTTTAATGTCGCACATGCAATCTATTTACAGATTTCTCTTTTATACACTTTGTTTGGTTGCGTGCCATGCGACACATCTAGAATTCTTGAATAAGTAAGGGGTCCTTCTATTGTAAATTGAAAACAATGTAATAAATATATGTCAGAATCTCTAATGGCATACTAAAGCAGCACTGGCCAAGTTTCTTAACCAATCGTGTTTATCAACATCATGAGTATCTTCAACTTCTCCCCATTCGCCAGTTTGGAAAATGGTTTCTAAATTAGCCAACTCTACCACATCCTCTAAACTCTTATGGTAGTAGTCTTTAGTATCTTGTTTATTGATTTGATACAAGCTCTTAAGCGTTTGTTCATCATTAACGTTAGATCTCAACAACGTAATACCACACAAGAATGATTTAGAAGTCAATATGGTTTTTTCTAAAGCAATCAAATCGTAAATTGGTAATTGATCCAACCAATCCAATACAACTTCTTGAGTTTTTTCACCTTGTTTATTACCTCTTAAACCGTCTTTTTCACAATCCAAGAATTTTAATTCAATTGATTCATTTTCTGGGATTAATTTCTTAGTATGAGCATATTTGGTGAAAAATTCATCAAATTCAGCAATCAATGGACGATAAATTTCTTCTTGTCTTTTTCTTAATTTACCATCACATTCTCTGTTGGTAGCAAAAATAAGACATGTATCAGTATCGAGATATCTCAACATCTGTAACTTGATGTCTTCTAAAGCAAGCATTTCTTTTGCTTTATCACTATCACTTAAATGATGTTTACTTAAATCGATTGCTCTAGTTGCCAATGCAGTTAATGGTAATGTACTAGATTTGACTTTAAGATCTGGCAAGTGGGTCCATTCATGAGCAATCAAATAGGCCAATTGTTTTTTACTTTCAGGCAATTCTAATGGGAAACCTAATGGGGTACGTAGAGTTTTACCATCTAATTGGATTTCATATTTCTTTGTATCTGGATTAAAATAAACATCACCTTTCTTCCAGAATCTAGCACCAGTTTTAGCTAATTTATTAGTTTCTGATTGAATATTTGATTCGATGGTTTTGTCAATCCCCAAAGATGCTGAGTTATTTGCAGGAATACGAGATTGGAAAACACGAGCAGAGTTTACCAAACATCTAGTCAGAATATTAACAGGTTTGGATAATCTAATTTGTCTTCTAGCAAGTCTAATCATATTCTTAAAATATAAAAATTAATTTATGGGGTAGATTAGGTATACAGCTTCTTGTAGTTCAGAATTTTTCACCAATTTTTTTTTTCTTTCTTTCTGGTCAATATTTTTTTTTGTCGTTGAGTATTTGATCCTGACAAACTTCAAAAAGCTAAAGAAGAGCTTTTTTTTTCTATTTGTTTCCTTATCATTCTAAATCACATACATCAACTACTTACGAATATCAAAGATGAATCAAGAAGCTTTACAGAAAGTCCTTATTGAAATGGATAACCAATTGAATAAATCCCGTGCTGAATTATCCATGGTGAATTTACAATTAGACAGAACCAATACAAATTTGAAAATCATTGAAACAACGAAAACTAAACTTAACGATATTTGTCAACCATCAGAAAGAGTATGGCAAGGCTGTGGGAAAGCTTTTATTGCCAAAGATGTTAAAACATACCTTGGTGATTTGGATAAAGATCAAAAGGATTATCAAGATACTAAGAAAAACTTGACTATCAAAAAAGACTATTTACAAACCACTCTTGAAAAAACTATAGAAGGAATGACTAGCATCGTTGGGGAAAAGAAATAATCATTCTATATTATTACATAGTGCATATTTATGTATATATAAACCATCTGTGTGATTTTACCATGTGTTGGATGCTAATCACTTTCCTCTTCATCAACACCTTCATCTAGAATTCTTCTTTCAACATCTTGTTCTTCTTTATCACTTTTCGCTTTATTATTTTCTAATTGCATTCTTTCAGTTAAGAATATATTTATTTGATCTTGTAGAGTAGTCACTTCAGCTCGTAAATTACCCAATACTGTATCATTATGTTGACTTGGTTTATCTCGATCTTCACCACCGGCATTAATAACTATATCTGATATCTGATTTGTTTGACCATATGTTGTATGTGGACCATCACCAGGGTGGAATTCTTTAGGTTTTTCAAAATCAGGAGCCGTATAGACAGCAGTAGGTGTTAATTTCATAGTTGATATGTAGGGGGTACTTGTTGGTATAGAGTAGACAGATGAGTCTCTCATGTAATTTTTCTTTTTTTTTTGTTTGGAATCTCGCTTTGTTCTTGATTTTACAACCACTATTGTTAAGAAACTAATGTTATATATATATATAAATATCAATTTGAAAAAAGAAAGAACTAAATAATAATAAACTTAAAGTCAACTAATATATATAACTAGGTTGATTGGTTATGATTCTATTGTTATACATTATATACTAGTTTTTTTTTTGATTTTGTTTTGAACGATTGTTTTTTATTTCTTCGATTAGGCGGTATTGTAATAGTCTTTAATTTTAATTTTGGTTGCTGCGTTTGAATATGCATTAAACTTGACTTCAATGATTTCATCTGTCTTGAAATCTAGAGTGGCAATCTCATAACTTGAGCATGACATTAAATATCCATAGAAAACACGCAAAACAGTTTCATCGGCAATAATCAATAAATCACCGCTCATTCTTTCCATCTCCAAGATCAAAGGTTCAACCTTAATGGCCAAGTCATGATAAGACTCGGCTCTTGGATAACGGTAATGATATGGATCATGATCATACTGGACAGATTCCAATGGGAATTTTTCTCTAATTTCATCGTAAGTTAATCCACTAGTAAGCCCTGGGTTCTTTTGTGATAATTGGATTCTATTTCTAATATTGACATTCTTTTTGGCTAAAAATTGAGTGGTTTCAACTGTTCTTTGCTTCACCGATGTCCATACTTGTAATGTTTGACTCTCACTATCATCTTTCAGCTTATCGATATAGTCTCTTCCAGAACTTTTCAAATGGTCAACTAACGTCTGAGTTAAGTTTCTTGCATACTTCAAACCATCAGCATCCAATGGTGGATCTTGGTTATAGTCTAAGTAGTTTTTATAACATCTTGCTAAGAATAAAGATCCGGATTTGATTTTACCATTCATCAAATAAAATACAACTTTGTTTATCAAGTAACCATAATTTGTATTGTGCAACTCAAGCCTTTCACCAAAATTAATAAATTTAATATAAGATAAATGTTCTTCCTCTGGACCTCCCATGTTTTCATAAAATGGACCAAGGGCATTAATTCTGTCACTATAATCTTTGTATGCCTTATCATAATCCCAATTTTCATAATCTGGTGAGGACTTGGCAGCTTCATGGATATTCTTCATAACTATTTTGTCATCAGTAACCAAACTTTCAATAAACAACACTTGAACACCCATTGCACGGAACTTCTTTTGCAATTCTAATCGATATTCCGGTTTGGCATTGACAGCATCGTAAATGGCAATTTGACCACCATCATTATTGAAAAAGTTTTCAATATCTTGAAGACATTCATTAACCATCTTTTGTCTCAATTCATTAACTTTAGCTGATTTAGGTGATGGGACAAATAAATCATGAGTAACGTCATCGACAGCATTAGCACGTCTATAATTACCCAAATGGAAAGGAAAGGTATTGACACCAAGCCATCTTAAATATCTAGTTAAAGAAACTGACAAATGAGTTTTTCCTCTACCAGGCAAACCTGTCAAGATGATAATAATTTGTCCCGCATGAAACAATCTTCCAGATTCGGTCAGATATAACTGGGCTCCACCTAATTCACTGAATGGATCTATTGGTTTATGAATACTATCAATCCCAGTGATGTCACTCATTCTTCTACCAGGAGCTCTTTTAGGCGGTTGCACTGTGCCATCATTTGCCAACCCAGAGAAATCTGGACGAGCGGCGGGGTTATTGAATGACCACCTTTTCTTTGTTCTTAATTGGTTTCTATGATTAGGTTCCTCAGCACCAAATCCTTTGAATAATTCAATATCTTCTTCATCTGAAAGTGCCGACATATTATAGTTGATAGTATAAACTGTAAGGATTAAACTTAAATATTTGTGAAATATGGGGTTGAGTCTATCGCTGATAAAGTCTCTTAATCAGTAGGTATTTCTTTGATTGTCTTAGTAGTGGTTTTCCCCCCAGATTGTGGTTCTTTACGTTTCTTCTCCTTTTTAGTAATCAAGAAATGTTGAATAAAGATTATTTAAATCAAGAAGGAAAAAGTGGGAGTTTAGCTTTTTTTTTTTGGATGATAAATGATAGAACAAAAGAAAAATTGTTCTCCATTTTTTTCCCTTTCTGTCCTGTTTGGTTGTTCTTTTTTTTTCTGCTCGTAGTTAAGGTTAGCTCTGGCAACTTTTAAATATCTTCTGTGATTTGTTCACTACGCAATCTAGACTCGGTATAGTAATACATACACAAAATGACTACTACAAAGTGGGCATGTTTCTTCTAACGCCCATAAATTCCTACATGACCTGTTGCTCACTCTTAACACCGGATATACCGCCAGACATTAGAAAAACAAAATTGTGTTCCCTTGTTGCAAAGGAGAATTTGTTTTGTTAGGGTCGAGTAGAGAAGGCAACACAATAGGTGCTACAATTATGAATACATGTCAACTTATCTGTTTTCAAAAATATAACCATTAAAAGTACACTATTTTCATACTAAATAAATCAACATATACACACAAAGTAAATAGGAAAATAAGAAGTTGTTTTGTCATTTTTATTAAAATTCTATCTCTTTTAATTACTCAATATGCAAAGATAATTTATTCAGCCTTACCACCTTTTCTTTGAATCAAAGCTTTTCTGTCTTTGTCCAAGTGCAATTTGGTGATGACAACTTTAGATGGGTGGATGTTGATTGGAACAGAAGCACCGTTGGATTTTTCCTTTTGTAATTTGTCAACTTGAATAGCGAATTTCAATCTGTAGACGGAGTTGACTTTACCTTCAGAACCTTTTTTAGAACCTCTAACAACCAAGACTTCATCGTTTTGTCTAATTGGCAAAGATTTGATGTTGTATTGTTGTCTTAATTCTTTGGATAATGGAGCAGATAAAAGAACTCTTCTTTCAACGGAGGAAGCGTTGAAGTAAGCTTTTCTAGCTTTAGAACGAGATGATGAAACGTCTAGAATAAAAAGTTAGTAAAAAATTGTTCAAAACATTACGACAAGTAGAAACAAAGGGATGAAAAATGAGATCCATGCTGAATGAATATATTCTTAAATTTTTTTTTGTTTATTTCTTTTTTGTAGTTGAAAATTGGTGTCATTTTTATTCATATCACAGGTAGTCTGTTATCGGATGTTGGTTGTGCTTGATTCTAATGCATTCTGATGATTATCTTTTGAACTATCGCTTTGCTCTTCTCCATCTTTGACTAGAACTTCTCTATCCCTTTACTTTCAACTTATCCCATTTAAACACACACGTTCTATTTCGTGCTAATATCTATTGCATACCTTGACTGATCTTGGCCATTTTTAATGATTATATGCTAGCTACTATCGATCCAAAAGGAAATTTTGAAAATTTTTGTATATCCCAAAATTGAGTGTATAGAATTAATTTTTCGCGCACGCTGAATGAGAGAGGCAGAGGGAAGGACAAGACCTAGGAGGCTAGAGAGTGGATTAGGTTTGAGTGTATGAGTGACAAAAAAAAAATTACTGTGCGCACCATACACACTAAAGCGTTAACTATGCGTAAGACAATAGAATTGAACAGAAAAAAAATTTTCTCCCGTACTGCACATATATTATGTTTTAGGGCTACAACCATAATGCACGTGCATAAAGAGGTTTTAAAAAAATGAGTTTTAGTAATGGTCGATGCAGAATGTTTCAAAGCATCACAATATTAATTATGAGCTTGTTTAAAGGGGATTAAGAGATGTTTCACTTTGGTTTGTATAACCATAGTCCATAGAGAGTGACTACTGGGAAGTCATATGTGCACAACTGTTCTACGATAATTTTTTGCTGGCGCACGCTGCCAATTTGTTTCATCACAAACCATGAAATGCCAGTATAGTTGCAAGTAGGAAATTGTGTATGATATTTGGGGGGTCGAAAAATTAATCAATCAAGGGGTTGTTACTGTAACAAAACTTAAAGGATAAACAAAAAATCAAGTAGAGCCCCCTGCGGGACTTGAACCCGCGACCAAACGCTAGTTCCAATTCTCCTTTCAAAAACCTTTAAAGTATTTTAAAGCTTCGAAACAGGAGTCGAACCGGAATCGTTCATGCTACCGGCTGCACCAAGGGGGCGGTTTTGTCGTAACAGGAGCTGGCGAAGCTTCTAACTTTTGTACCAAAGCAGATGGTTCATCCAACTATGCCACAAAGACATCTTAAGTAAATTTTTTTTGATGTTTATAATGTGACCCAAAAAATTGGAATAATATACATAATAAGTTATTTTCTCACGTGATACGATATAGACATATCACATTATTATTACAATAAAGTGTCTCCAAGCTGTAGCTCTTAGTTTTTATTTAAAGGCAAAGAGTATCCACTCCATAGTAAGTTAATTTTTACTCTTTAATTGTATTTTCATTTTGTTTTTGTCAATTTTCTACATTAAAAACTTTTACCCATGGTAACACAATACGTGTGTATACCAATTTCACTGCAACATTCAACGATTTCTTGAAGGTATTTGTAGTCCGCTATGATAAAGCTTCAGAGCTAAAAATTACTAATCTTCACTGGTAACTACTATACCGAAGAAGTTCTGGGGCAACTTAAACGTCGTTTATAAAATCTAAGTTGAAAAATATTTAAACTTTCTGCATTTAATTATCTTATTGTAATTTATTAACCTTTATATGTGTTTCTTTTTGACTTATACCAAGTTTGCTGATACCGTCTTCAAAGGCTTCTTAATTCAACAACAGATGTAGTCATATGTACAATTCAACAATTTCGAAGAAAAGTAGATAAAAATTCTTTGCATTAGCCACGAGGAAGATATGTTAGCTAAAAGAGCAATTTCCAAGTCAAATATTCTGACTCAAGGATCCTCCTTCCAAATTAATTTACACAGTACCTTATTAGTTACATATTTAGTTTTTTTTCTCTATTACCGGAGTTCTTTGAGACTACGGAGTGGTAGCACCATACACACATTCATTTACGGGATATATTAATTCGGAAACATAAAATAACCACTTCTCAATAAATAAAACACACGATAATGTAATTATGGAACCTCTTCATACATATTGAGCCTGTAACCAACAAATTATGAGCTTATCCAAAGTGGAACTTTATTCACTATCACAAGTATCCACATTTCTTGAGCAACATTAATAATCCTGCTGTGAGTTCATTCTTTACCACAGCTCGGGTGCGATTTCTAGTACATCAGCTGTAACATTCTTGAATTCCATTACAAGTTCAAATAACCCATCAACGTGTAGCCTTCTAGTTAGAGTATTTGATCAATTGGTATATTCCTGACACATATGACTGTGTTTAACTTCATTGCTAATTTTTTTATTTTTTTTGAATCCAACTTACTGCGTTAATTCCCCCATTCCATAATTCTCAACAACAAGAGAGAGAAAAAAAAAATTGCGCCAATTGATTTTAACCCATCATCTTGTTACAATTAACTCTACTCAACATCTTGCTAGTGACTCTTACTAATAATTTGTTATCACCAGAAGATGAATTTCCTTCAACAGACCAGTAGTCTTGGATTAAGGACTTTTAGATTAAATATTCATTCAATTAGACCAACAATTCTTCCAAAAATTATTCCAACATTATATTTAAGATCACAACCAATTCAACAACCATGCACTAAACTCCTTCAAACCCATTTCTATTCCACCAAAACAGCCCCTCCACCACCACCACCACCACCCTCTACTCCTCATGATAAAAACGTCAAGGGTAAAAGGCTTCTTAATAGAATTTCCAGAGCTTTCACATTTTCATTGTCGACATTACTTGTGATGGGAGCTGCGGGGGTAGCTATTTTAGTTGTTTCGTTGATTTTATCCGAATTGTTCTTACCTTCAGGAGATACCAGAACATTTAACAAAGCAGTTAGATTAATTGAAGAGAATGAACAAGCACAAAAAGCGCTTGTATTTCCAAATGGTGAAAGATTGAAAGCATATGGTATTGTAGCTGCTGATAGATGGGTTCGTAACAGACCTGTTCAAAGTGTCAAAACCAAACATAAGGATGGTAAAGACCATTTATTAATGAAATTTCAAGTTGAATCAGATAGTGGAAATTATGGGGTTGTTACTTTAGAACAAGTTGATAATTCCATGTGGAGTACTGAATTTGAATATATTGCCTTGGATGTACCAGGATTCAGAAGAATTTACATTATCGAACCTCCAAAAAATCAATTGATACCTAAAATTGGTGGTGGAAGTGGATTCTTAGGATTGAATTGGGGTCCTAAGAAAGACTAATGATATATTCCATATTTATTATGACAAAGAGAGGCAAGAGAATGGCGATTAGTATATATGTATAAAAAAAATATATAGTACCATAAAGCTGAACTGATTTCTCTCATCAGTTCTAAATCAATAAAGCACAGCATGTAAATAACAACTTCACAATAGTTTGGAAAATTGAATTTTTGTAAGTTGTAGAACCACTGGTGACCAGTTTGGTTGGTTTAGCCTTTGCTTTTTTATTATGTGGTTTCTTATGCGATTTTCTACGTGATCCAGATGAATCTTTGCTACCCTTGCGATCATCACCATAATCACGACCATCGTCATCATCATCATCATCGTAGTCATCGTAGTCGTCACCATCATCATACTCCTTCCCATATTCATGATCACCTTTTCCATGATCATATTCTTTTCCATCATTGTCTTTACCTCCACCTTGACCAGGTTGACAATCAGGTTGAGCTCTTCCTTCAATAATTGCCAAACAATTTCGTCCATCACTTGAATACTTTGAACCCAAATCATCTAAACCTCTTCCACTTGATAGCTGTCCTCTACCTTGGAAATCACAAATATCTTGTTTTCTTCCACTTTGTTCATAATGCTTATTCAAAGCATATGATGCTCTTACGGTTGGATTACAATCGGAATATTTCCCATATTTACCCAATCTACCATTAGCGTTAATATCTTCGCAATCAACTTTGAAACATAAATCTTTCAAAGCAACTTCTTCATCAAATTGTGCGTCACTCGCAATAACACAAGATAACGACTGCCATAAACATTCACATTTACCTTGATCAGGTGTTGGTGGTAATGATAAAGCAATATCCCATGCATCATCTTCCGGTTGTATACACGATTTTGGCTCACAAATTGTAGCTTCATCAACAGTGATTCCAATTGGTGTCACTGAATTGTATCTCATTTTCAAAGTGTCAAAATCAGGTAATTTAGAAATCAGTCCATCTTTTTTAGACAATAAAACCCCATAATGGTTAACTTCTTCGAAATATTCATACACAATACCACCTGACCAAACTTTTCTCATGGTAGTGCCATAAATTGCTTCAATTTCAGTGAATGGTCTAGGAGTAATTATATTACAACCAAATTCACTGAAAAAAACAGGCACAGGATAATTATTAAAAGCAACTGTCAAATCACGATACCCTGAAGTAGTATATGTTGAATATCCACACCACTCATAAACATTAATAGCAAAAAAATCTGCTCGACTATAATTATCTTCATCTTCATCTAATTTACAAACAAAATAATTGGCTAAATTCTTTCGAATACTTGCATCATCATTTGATGCATATCCAATTGGTATCTTTCTATAACCTTGTTCATCAATATATTTCTTACAATCTCTCAAAGCTGCTCTAACAAAAGGACTTGAATCAATATTAGATTGAGCATTAGCAACTTCATTACCAGCAAAAAATCCCAACATATTATTATATTTATTCATTGCATCAATCACTTCCTTGTATCGATTAAATAATTCAGTATCCCAATGAGGATAATCTCTTCGAATGGACATATAAGGTTCAGATAAATCAGCAAGAACATAAATTCCAGCTTCAGCAAATGCATTCATACAAACATCATGATTTGCATTTGGATTAATTTGATATACTCTAATTACATTAACACCTAATTCTTTTAAATATTCTAAATCTCTTAAACAAGTAAATGGATTAGCTAATGGATCAACATAATGTGGTTCTTTAGTAGCATCATATATCTCTCCTTCTTGTCTTGATTTCTGATATGCAATTCCTTTAATAAAGAATTGTTGACCATTTTCACATTCAAAAAATTTGTTTCCAACAACTCTTATTGGCAGAATTGATTGTGATCCTGATAAATCTTCGTCTTCTTGAGTGGTTGGAATACCTAAAATGGTCGAAGTGTTTGATTCCCCTTTTATTGGTTGGAGAAATACCAACAAAAGTGTAAGTATTGATAAATGCATATTTTGGTTTGTACTGATTGTGTTTGAAAACAAAAAGAAAGAAAAGTTGCAAATAGAAAATTTATATCTGACGGATTTTTCTGCTGCTTTTTTTTTCTTCATTTTCATTTTTGCAGTTAGAGTTTTTAATAACAAAATTATACAACAAGAAAGCAATATCAAATAAATCTGTAAGAAAAAAGTCAATTATTATTAATAATACATAGTTAGTTACATCTATATTTATATAGCATTAGCAACAACAACAACAACAAAAAAAAAAGAAAAATAAAACTAGAAAACGCATTCATTAATCGGAGATATCTCTAGAATATTTCATACAACGATTTGAATTCCCTCTTACCTCTACATTCAATCATGTAAATTTCATTATCATTATGTTTAACCAATAACCCAGCTTTACCAATTCTTTCCAAATAATCAAATTTATTATCATCAGGAACCAACCATTTGAATTCGTCATTTTCATCATCTTCTTTAACCAATGTGAAATGGTAATATTTTCTCAGAGTGAGGTCATCAATGATTTCTTCAATGTTCAAGTTATACATTGATAAAATTTTCCATGAAGAAGGAACATTGATTTGACTGTAATTTTCCAATTGTTTCTGTAATCTAATTTGCATCAGATCAATTTTGCCAATGTGGAATGAAGTAGGATTATGAATAATACAAGCATTGTACACTTCATCAGCATCAATGGATTGTGACTTGATTTTTGGACTAACTGTTGAAACCCCAAAGGATGAAAAACTTGTAAATGTTGATGATTGACTTGGATTAGTTAAATCCATAACAGAAGAACCCAATGTATTATCGGAAGCCAACAATTTAGAGGCTCTCAAGGATCCATAACTTTGACTTCTTGAAGTAGTACTGGTTAATGCACCCAACGCATTTTCAATATTGCTATGAATCTCGTTGGCCAATGACCCATTGGAGCATCTAATCATCATTAAAATCTTTTCATCATTGATGGCATTGGTTGTATTAATTTGCAAATCAATAGCAGATGATTTTCTAAGATCAGTAACCGAAGGAGCAATATTCAACAACATGATTGCTTTGTCAACTTCTTCTTGGAGTTCTTCATCGAAATATTCCTTGAAAATGATAAACCAACATTTGTTCATATCGTAGTTAATTGCAATTTTGACAAACAAATTTTCTGCCCCAGTTGCAGCTTCCCATTTTTGTTGTTTCCATTTGGATATTTTCAATGATTTTGGAGATGATTGGGAAATATAGAAATCAAGAGTAGATTCCTCATTAATTGTGTTCTTCAATTCCTGTGGAATAACCAAATCTTCTTCAACAATTTCTGGAGTTGCTGGTGAGTTACGATTAATTAAACTAGTACTGGAGGAGTTTTCTTTAGCTTGGTTGAAAATAATAGTAGAAGAAGATGATGGCAAGGTTGATTCTGATCTAGACATTAATGCTTCCTTTTCGATTTCTTGAGGTGATTCTTCAATAATTGTAGTTGCAAGATTAGTACTACTGGTACTCATATTACGACGTTTTGGAACTGGAGTTGGCTTTGAACTTGGAACTGTTTCAAAGCCAGGGGTTTCAACCAAACTTGATCTGGATGACTTTTTGAAAAGACTGAAAATAGATTTTCTTCTCTGCTTATTGCTCTTGCTTGACGAGACCGATGTGGATGAATCATTATTATGAACACCCATGGCAAATGATGGTTTATAACTCTTACCAAAGTTGTTAATGTCAACAGCTGAACCTGTAGATAATTGGTATAAATTAGATTGTCTGGCTGGTTTGTTTAAATCCGGTACAGAACTTGCAAAACTTTTTTGATATGGAGCATGACTCTCAACTCCTGCATTAATTATAGCAACTTCTTCCTCATCAATAGTGTCAATATCAGCAGATGGCTCGCTTCCTTCAGGAGAAGATTCGACGAAGGAAATTTCGCCTGTAGAAGATTTATGTTTCTCCTCAGCAGCAGTAGAATATTCGTCTGATAATTTCTTTCTGTTGATAATTTGGAAATATTTATCATCATCATCTTCAGCCTCTTGTTTGCAGGTTTCTTCCAATTCATTGCTTTTAGATAGAGTCTTTTTGATCAATGGCAATGTACGATTAAATTTAGATTCTAAATTGGCTTCCTCGTTACTTATCACTGAAGAACTGGAGCTTGAATCTAATTTGAGGTCCATCAATTCATCAGCATCACTATTAGTTAACTCAGCACTATTTGGTGCGACAAAGGTTGACTTGATAGGAGAAAGTGTTGGTGAGTCAATTAATTCTTGGAATGGCTTTTTCTTTGTTGGAGAGGATGGAGCCGTATTAGCTTCATCTGAAGACAATGATTTCTTGTGTTCTGAGTCGGAAATAACATTAATACCAAAGCCAGATAATGATTCAGCTGGACTAGAATGTGACTCAAGCAAGAACTGATCACTGACAGGAGAATTATTACGTTCTAACGGGCATATACCTGATAATTTAGCAACCCAAGCATTCACAAGATGTTCGTCGTCACATGAGATGGTGATTGACTTGGTGTTTGTTGAATCTGGTGATAAAAAGTCAATTGCTCTCAATTCAATTGAATCTGTAGTATGTGACAAGGACAACTCGTTCACTCTAAATGGAGGATAGAGCAAAGAACGCGAAACTTCAACATCATTTTCAGTATCAATAGACAAAATGGCTAAAGCATTTGAAGTTTCAGTACCAATAAGGTCCAACAAAATAAGTTCAATTGGGGTCTTTCCTGCCAATAAAAGTTTGGCATGTCCTGTTCTTTCCAAAATTTGGTCCACAGTGAAGTAACTTGAAACCAATTCGTTGCTGACAAGAGTGCCTGAAGTGAAAGTTCTAATATTGGAAAATTTAATATTATTCATCTTCTTGGAGAAGACATCAGTTTTATGGTTGTCGACAATTTCCTTTAATTTCGAGCTGTGAATGTTTAACTTATCTAGGACAAATGGATTTCTTAAATGTTCTGAACATGAGTTCATAAATTTAATGAATTTGGACAAGTTTTTTATAGGACCAATCAATAGACATTCTGTAGTATTATCACTGGCCTCATGTAATTTCCATTCCTGAGAGTATTTTTCAAACAAGAGCACAGTACCATCATCTAACCACAAGATAAAATCATTGACAAAAGCTTTGAATGCTTCAATTTCACCCATACTCTTGGTCTCGATATTAGATAATGTTTTATTTAGAAGGTTCAATAACTTGTTGTGTTTTGTGTACAAGCCTCTCGTGACCGAGGCAAGTGAAGATGTTGTAGATTTCTTTGGCTTGACAACGCCTAGTATTTCAACCAAGTTATTGTTCAAATCTATGGTGGATTCTTGTAATTGCACTAATAATGGCAGACATTCATTAACGGACATCATTATTTGTGAAGTTGGTGAGAAGAATTGAAGGGGTATAATTAAGAATGGTTGGGAAGTATAAATAAATCAAATAATATAAATAAACAACACGGAAATGATATATATATGAAAAAAAAAGAAAAATTGTTAGCAATATCAACCAGTTGGATGAGGTACAAGTTTTATATGAAATTTGAAATTACTAAGGGGAAATAGACTGCCGGTGCGAGTCGAAGATCTTGAGCCAAATTAAATATATGAAAAAAAAAGAACACAATACAAAAATAAAATAAAGCAAGAAAGCTAAAAGTATCAAAAGTAAACAAAACAAACTTAACGTTTCGTGTTTTAGGTTTTGAAAAAACGGAGGGAAAGAAGGAAAATCCAATTGATATGTAATTTAACCCGAATTGGGGGTGGACGATGGTCTTCAAGCAAGGGGAGTAAATGGTGCCGTGATGGTAGTAAAGAAAAGGCGAGAAGAAATAATATCCTCGTAGTGTTTCTCGCCAATGCTGTAATTTAATATTGCTTCTTGCATCGGGCTTGAAAGGGCGGTGTGAAATAAAGATGGGCTTTGTTTCGGTACATCGGTTGCCCATTTGTTGGCATTGCATTTTTAAATTGAAAGGGGGGGGGGATTAAGTTGTTCTGTGGTTATTATTCCACTTTTGTTGGCTGAGTTAATTAATTTGCCCTTTGACGCGTTTCGTGTTTTTTTTTCTTTGAAAATGCGCGTTTTGTGTGTCAATATAGATTTCTATGATGCAAAGCCGAATTATCAGCGCTTAATTATTGAACAAATTACAGTACTATAGCAAACATCACATTTGTATTGCATGATAATTTACGTCTAGATTCAATTGCTCATATGCTATTCGTTCCTTCATTGCATGAATTAATAGTATTCCTTCATGAGGGAGATGACGCGTCTGACCAAGTAATGTCGGTTTTTGTCTCACGAATGTTATGATTACTACTGGGGGTACCCACCAACACTATTTTGTTCAAACTTACAAGAGCAAAATTTTGTACATAACTTCTGTCATTAGTGGCTGCCACGACTAAACCGTAAACCAAAGTGATGATGTTAATACAAAATCCCAATTTGGTTATATAATTGAATCTTAAATCGGTTAGATGACGCGTCAAGTTATTATTATTATATTATTATTAGTTCTTTGTTCATTTAAAATAGAAGTTTTACTAACAATAGCAATTTAATTTTTTTTTAGACAAAGTGATTGTAATTTCACATTTATATTTTTCTTTGTAGCAATTACTACAGTTTCGCTTCAGAGAAAATACAAATCAGATATCTCCATTGACCGCCTGAATATTAAAACAAAACAATGACAAAAAAATAGTTTATCGTGAATCCGTTTTAGGATTTTATTATCACGTATACTATCATTAATAATCTCTACTTATAATCCAATCTAAAACATGATTTACCCCTTCACCTGTTTTACCGCTGACCAATTCCACATCCCATTTATCCCTTTGGGGAATTTGTTGTGACAATTGAAGGAGTTCAATTACTTTCTCCTTTAGCTCCAGTCTCTCATCCTGTGGTATAAGGTCAATCTTATTAATCACCACCATTAGATAGACACCTACTAACCTATCTTGTAATATCACTTTCTCTCGTAATTCGTCATATGATTCTTGTAATCGTTCCAAACTCAACCCATCAATCACCCACATAACTACATCTGTCTTTTCAAAATAGTTACCCCAAAATGCTCTTAGTGTTGTTTGTCCTCCGATATCCCAGATATTCAATGTATAGTCATCGTAGCGTAAAGTTTTGATTTGAAACCCCATCGTCGGCGATATAGAAGTCGTATCTTCATTCAACATTTTCTTGATTATCGTTGTTTTACCCGAGTTATCCAACCCTAATGTTAACACTCTCACTTCATTGTCCTTAAGTTTTTGCTTCTTGATTATAGTAAGTAACCCCATAGTTGTGAATGATGTTTGAGAATGCTTGTCGTTAGAAGAATTTTCTTTTTTCTAACTCAAAACAAAACAAAAATAGTCGCTAAAAAAATTCCCACCTCTTGATTAAAGGTCGTAAAATAATATGATTGTAACTATCATGGATTTTACAGACACTCAGTGGAATAATTAATACCATTTGATGTTAATACGGTTTTCCTTGATTGTTTGTATTTCCATTTAGCAAGTCAAAAAATTTGGAAATCTCATCTTATCATCACGTGACAAAGTCAGATTTTTTGTAGTTATTATACACAAAAAAAATACTCCTGGTTTGAAGATTTATCTTCTTTACAAAAACTCTATCAAAAAGTACCCTCCGCATAGTTCTACATTATACCAGGCATAAACGATGCCTCGTATAAAAAAAGAGAGTTCAGATAGTAAAGAAACGCAACAACGATCAATATTTGAATTTACTCAGAGAAGAGATCATAAAACAACAGTTATTAAACGTGAAGGTGTATCACAATCCAGTACATCTACCACCACAACGGTCATTGGTAAATCAGAGACCTATTCCCATGATACAGTATTATGTCCTATATGCAATGAGAACATCAATCATTTGGATATACGTCAAAGGACAGATCACGTCGACACATGTTTAGTACGCGTTACTTTTGTTGAAACTTCGACGTCCACTGTTACAACCAAGAAGGAAATATCACCAACAGCAATATCTCAAAATGAACGATTCAAATCGAAATCATTATCTTCCCCTGAACTTGAACAGTCGGCAAAGAAGAAGAGAAAACTAGATCCTAATGATCCAAAGGTTAAATATGTGAATGGTGAAACAGATACCAATAAAGAACAAAAAACCATTAAACCCCCAACAAGCATTAAAGCAACAAGCAAAAAACCAATACCTGATCTTAAAATCATGGTATTCCCTGTACTGAAGGATTATGTATCAACTTATAAAGTTGCAGTTGACGCGTTTAATTTTGCCCCACATTCTGAAATCGACCAATATTTTTTGACCCATTTTCACGCTGATCATTATGGGGGCATATCCAAGAAATGGGCTTATGAAAGAGTATTTGGATTGGAGGATATGGATTATGAGAATGACTCCAAATATAGAAAAATAATATATTGCACTGGAATAACAGGAAGATTGCTTACATTGCGGTTCTCGATTGACCCTAGATTTATCAAAGAGTTAGAGCTAGATACTCGATATAAGATTAAGAGTTACACAGATGACTTCATCGAGAATTTTGGGGTGGAAAGTAATGATGAGGATCCCGGGCTTTATGTTGTTCCAATATGTGCCAACCATTGTCCAGGAGCAGCCATTTTCTTGTTTGAATCTATTGGATTAGATAACCAAATACATCGAATAATACATTGTGGTGATTTTCGTGTCAACAAGGAGATTTTAGACAATCCCACTCTACGACAGTTTAGTTTGAATAAAAAGAACACCATTGATGGAGTTTTGAAGATAGATCAAGTATATCTAGACACCACTTATATGTCACCAAAACATAACCTTCCAAAACAAGAGTTGGTGTGCGATGTTGTGGCAGATTTATTTCATGACTTAGCACGAGAACAATCAAACAAATCCTCTTTGTTTGCCAATTGGTTTGGAGCTTTGACTCAATCTAGAATAACTGATTTTTGGAGAGCAAAGGCTGGACCAACAATTATAAAGAAAAAGAAATTTTTGATTGTAATTGGCACTTATATCATAGGTAAAGAGAAGCTAGCTTTGGCTATACTGAAACGTCTCAAATGTATGATTTATGTGCTGAACATTGGTGCTCGAAGGGATAAGTATGATATATTCAAGACATACCAGGATCCATACTTGGAACTGGTACTATCTGATAACGAGTTTGGCAATGATAATGATGACTTTGTTATTCATTTAGTCCCCATGACAATAGTTGGTACAGTGGAAGAATTATCAAATTATTTCAATCACAATAGATACTATGAAAATTTTGAAAGGTGTATTGGGCTTTGTCCAACTGGTTGGAGTTTCAATCAATACAAACGACCAAAACGTTTTGGCTCCCCACCAAGAAACGAATTAGAAGAAATTATCCAAATTATGGAAAACCAAACTTCATTTAGTTATGTCGATGATATACTAGCACAAGTACCGAAAACCACTAAAGTTACGAAAGGCAAACCCGATATTGGATTGTACAGACTGTATGCTATACCCTATAGTGAACATTCTTCCTTTAGAGAATTGGCATACTTTGTCACATTTTTCAACATCGACAAAGTAATACCAACAGTGAATACTGAACGTGAAGAAAGTAACCAGAAAATGGAGGGACATATAGCAATCTGGGAATTGGCAAGAAAATTAATCACTAACCAAAAAGTCGAACTAGAAATCGATCAAGATTTGGTTGACAGATTAAAAGAGATTTCCTTGGATACATTTTAATGCACGTCATTATTTATATGAAAGGTTAATGTAGTAATTGTAACTACACACTCCTCGTGGATAAATACATATTAAATCTATTTCTACATAAAGGAGTACTTTTTACGAATTGTTACACAAAACCAGTTTTATTTAATAGAGATAGTACTATCATGAATTCAAGTCTCACACCATTTCTGTATGATCTTGCAATCCGTTTCTATGCTTTTTTGGTCACATCATACTTCAGTAATAGAATTTCCAAAGAATTTATTCACTTTGATGAACCATAATGTTGGTCTCCATATTTGAAAGAAAGGTTTGAATGTTAAAACTGCGAAAATCCTACAATAGATTTAATGCAAATCCCAAAAGATCTTATGTAATCGCTTTTTGTTTTTTTAGTTTAAAACAAAGGATTAAATACATTAGAATTAAATATTTGAAGCCTTCCTTATATAATCGCTAAATTCTAAGTATGTATTTATTTAGGAAAAGATAAAGGATCATCATTATGCACATGGAAGCTATGGCCAGTAATACAAATTTTTACGAAGTCAATATAAAACTTTGAATGGTGATAATATATAAACTACAAATCCCATGATGAATATTTCATAGATTTATTAAATGTAGTTCTCTATTATGTATCAGTTATGACAATGAGTAGTTCAAATTCATCCACTACCAAGGAACAAGAACAAATTTCCCTGAAACAATCCACAGAGCATCTATTTCAAAAACAACCAAAACAATACCATAACATTTTTATCAGGTATTCAATATTAATCATTAGTTGTTTTGGTTCAATCATGTATTGTAACTTTCTATGCACCAGCGCAATATTATATCATTTGAAAGATAAAATTTCTGGCAATGAAAAATCCCAGAAACCTGACATTGAACAAAAAACCCATGGGTACATTCCTCGTAAAGCATATGATAATTTATCAGAAATGAAACCCAGTAGAGACTTACAATACTATTTGAAAGCATTGAATTTAGATTTACAGGAATTTCATGTGACCACTGCTGATGGGTTTATTTTGACATTACATAGAATTATTGATCCCAAAGAAACTGATGATCAAAGAGAGATGAGAAAGCCCGTATTTATGCAACATGGTTTATTTTCATCTAGTGGAAATTGGGTTGTTAGTGGTAAGAATTCTTTGGGATACTATTTCCATGAACAAGGATACGATGTTTGGTTAGGTAATAATCGAAGTTTTTTTAGAGCTAAACATGAAACAATTAAAGGGGATTTATATAATAGTGAAGCTTATTGGGATTGGAGTATTGAAGAATTGGCATACTATGATTTACCATCCATGTTAAATACTGTATTGGTACACAAGAAGAAATTCAAGAAATTGATTTTAATGGGACATCTGCAAGGTGGGTTGCAAAGTTTCATGATGTTGAAAAATCCGTATTTTAAACTATTACACGAAAAGATTGAATTATTTGTACCTATTGGTCCAGCAATTTATCCTGGTCCAATGTTTTATACATGTGATTTCATTAAGTTTATGCATTCAAGAAGTAAAACTTCATGGTTGTTATTATTTGGCTGTTGTGCTTTCATGAGGAATTTATGTCTTGTAAGGTATTATATAGCAGAATACTCCTTATATGGAAAACTATCTTACTATTTCTTTAAATACGTATTTGGGTGGTATGGATACAATTGGGGTCAAGATAAGAAAGTAAGACACTTTTTGTTTGTTTTCGTAATGAGTTATGCATCAATGGAGTTGATGAAGTATTATTTGTCAAGTTCGTCAGAATACGGATTCACCGTAATGTTGCAACCTAAGGAATCCTATAAAAATGATGACCATTTCAAAGTGAATAAAGTTAATGATAGCAAGAGTTTTTTCCAATTTGACAAAACTTGGTTTACTGGTATTAAAGTTCCCATGCTTTTGTTTATAGGTGAAAAAGATCACTTGGTTGATGCAAAGAAAGTTGCAGAACACATGAGGAAATATGAACCGGGATATGTTGAAGGAAATAATTTTGAAGCGGTTGAATTGACAAACTATCATCACATCGATGTTGCTTGGGCAGAAGATGTTATTGGATCTGTGGGGTATGTCATAATTGAAAAATTGAAAAAGATGGAAGAAAAAGAGAAAATACACCCAGAAATTATAACAGAACCTATAGAGAATATAGACAGTGTCAAAGTCGAGAATGTTGAATTAACATCATCTGAAGATGATGTATTTGTTGTAACGAAGGATTCACTTGCTCAGGAACAAATTTCAGATCTTGGTTATAACTTTAAGGATCAACAAATCATTACAGTGAAACCATTGGAGTTGGAAAATATAGTCCTTCCACAGAGTGTTACTGCTAATTGAAGATGGTCGATATATATATATATATAGTTTGTTTTTACCAAGTAGACAAATGAAACTACCCCAGAATCATTCTCTGCAGAATCTACTCCGTCTTTACGAAGCTTTATCATATTTTAGTCCATACACTCTCATTTGTTTTATATCTAATCCGTTTATACGTTTCATAGTTTCAATTATTGTATCCTGTGGTTCATTCGTAGTATCGATTTCTGGTTAGAGATGAACCACATTGTTGTCCAAAAGCCGTTTGCTCATTAGTTTTCCGGTTCAGGACGTATCGCGATTGCGTGCTTGTTCCCACACATTTGTTTTGTTGACTCAGCACGAACTATTTTTTTTTTCACCCAATTTTTTTTTTTTTTTCATGCTGTTAATTAGCTTCTTCAAACTAATACTAAAACTCTACATCAATTCATAATGGTTAAATCAGTTAACGTTGCAATTATCGGTTCTGGTGTTGTTGGATCATCATACATCACCCAATTGAAAAACTTGAAAAGCAATATTGGTTTCAATGTTGTTTACTTGGCTAAAACTGTTGAAGAAGCTTTATACAGTAAAGATTACAAACCAGTTGATTTAGCAAATTATGAAACTGCCCCAACTGAAAAGACTTTATCATTGGATGAATTGGTCAAATTTTTAAAAGGCGCCAATAAACCAACTATTTTAGTTGATAACACTTCAAGTCAAGCTATTGCTAATTATTATCCAACTTTTATTAAAGAAGGTATTTCAATTGCTACTCCAAATAAAAAAGCCTTTTCATCTGATTTGAAATCATGGAAAGAACTTTTCCAAACTGCTGAATTACCAGATGCTGGTTTGGTTTATCACGAATGTAGTGTTGGTGCCGCCTTACCAATTATTTCTCCATTGAAAGATTTGATTGCTACTGGTGATAAAGTTGATAAAATTGAAGGTATTTTCTCAGGTACTTTATCTTATATTTTCAATGAATTTTCAACTTCTGAAAAATCAAATGTTAAATTTTCAGATGTTGTTAAAAAAGCTAAAGAATTGGGATACACCGAACCTGATCCAAGAGATGATTTGAATGGTTTGGATGTTGCTAGAAAAGTTACCATCTTGGCTAGAATTTCAGGTTTGGAAGTTGAAGGACCAACTTCTTTCCCAGTTGAATCTTTAATTCCAAAACAATTAGAAGGTGTTACCAGTGTTGCTGAATTTATGGAAAAATTACCAAACTTTGATGATGATATTCAAAAAGTTAAAGATGAAGCTTTTGCTGAAGGTAAAGTTTTAAGATTTGTTGGTAAAGTCGATATTGGTGCTAACAAAGTTTCTGTTGGTATTGGTAAATATGGTTTCGATCATCCATTTGCTTCTTTGAAAGGTAGTGATAATGTCGTTTCTATCAAAACCGAAAAATACCCAAATCCTTTGATTGTTCAAGGTGCTGGTGCTGGTGCAGTTATTACTGCTCATGGTGTTTTGGCTGATACTATCAAGATCGCCGAAAGAATTGCCAACTAAAAGTAGGTGACATCATACTAGACATTCATAAATTATACGTAAATACATACAGAGATTTAGCGACTCACGAGATTAAGGAAAACAACTCTTCTTTTGAATGTGCTTTCGCCGTGGTGAAAATTTCTCTTAAAAATTCAACATTTTGACAAGCAGCTCTAAAAGTAAGCATAATCTTATGTGAGTCGGTATGTACGGCTTTAGCATTACTTTCATAATCACCAACCATAGTAGCGGTTGATCCAACTCGAGCAAGGTGCATATTATTTGGAGCCAAAAAGAAATCACCATTATCTCTCAACTCAGCAATATAGAACCCCGATTTATGAATGAATTGGGCATATCTAAAAGATGGTACACCCCAACTGTATCCAATATCAATATTTTCACGCAGGAAAAATGACGTTGATCTATTATCTAAATAGTATCCTAATTTCTTCAAAAAATAGGAATGATAGAAATATTTATTTGTTGAAAATATTTCATCGTCTGCAAGATCCGGATCAGTCCATGGATTAAGTGACAATTTAACATCAACAAATGAATGGAATGGACTAAGTCTTGGAAGTATACATAATTCTTTCCATGGAGTTTCAACTAATTTCAACCCATGTTTTTCACATAATCTAGACCAAGCAATAATACTATCTTCAATAAACTTATTGGTTGTGTTTAACCATTGTAATCGAATATGGTAACAATGTTCTGGATTATGTACTCTATCATAATGCACAGTAATAAACTCAGGACGGAAAGACTTACCTAAAGGATCAACGTCAAACTTAACAGCACGACTCAAAATAAACTTCTTCCGCTTTCTACCCACCGTAGAGTCAGCCATAGATGACGCTTCTGATGTGACATTCAGCGACGAAGAAACTTTTTGTAAATCTGTTTGTCCTTGGATTCTTGGAGATGTATTGAACTTTGGTGAAGCCACCCCTTCGAATTTTTTACTACCAAACCACGCTGTAGATTTACCTCTATTTGACTTATCAGCATATTCATCTTCAAAAGCATAAAAATAATGTCCATCTAATAATCCATGACGTTGTTCAACATGTTTAAACAATCCTTTATTCATCAAGCTTTGACCGTATGATACTGCTTGCTCTCTGGATTCAATATCTTCAAAACTGTCAACCAACCAGGACACAAATTCACTTCCCACAAAACAGTACAGATGCTTCTTAAAATGCCAATTTCTATCGACTAATGTTAACCCCGTTGCTCTGTTTTGCAACTCAATGGCTAATTCAGATAACTTGATGGACTTGTTAAATCTTGATGATTCTGGTATCATCAATGCAGGTTGAGTTCCCGTAATATCATAATTCTGGGCTTCTTCATTCAAGAAATCATATAAATTACCCGTATAAAACAACACCTCTGATTCACGACGAGTACGTGTTTTGTCTGATTTGTCATTCCCCTTGTATGCTCCAGTTTTGATCGCTCTAATTAATTTAAGTAAACCTTCTACTCTAATTTCCTCTGCAGTTAACTTTTCATTACTACTGAAAAATGCAGTTTTTGGAATATCCGTAGGCATAACCACAAATTTCATCTTATGAAATTCTTTTTTATCTTCTGGCATTGCATCATCAAATCCTGCTAATAGTTGATCAAATTGATTCCAATTATACTTTTGTGATTCATCAGCAATAGCATCAATACGGGCTGGAGTATATTCGTCAGTGTATCGAGTTCTAATAAGTGGGAAATATGGCTTAATTTTAGTTTGACCCAAGGTTATTTTATTTTCTTCTGAAGGAATCATCTTTCTGTATAATTGAACATTTATATTACCGTTGTAATCACAAAAGATTCGATGGATTTCGTCTTCTAATGACATGTAAATTCTTGCACCAAGGTAATTATCTTCTGTAGGGAAATATTTAATAATACTCTCAGCACTACCGGAAGGTTTCCTCTCTGCTTCTGCTCGATTAACTTTTTCTCCATAACATATTTGAAATCCCAACATTAATCTAAGTTGAATCATCTCTCTCATTAAAGCATGGGTAGATTTCAACTCCCAATAGTTATCAGAATTTAAGAATACCGTATAAATTTGGAACTTGTAATCCGTTTCAAGTTGATTCTTAGAAGGAAACACACCTGTAACCGTGGGTAAAGCAGCAGGGGCTTGGAAAGATCTCCATTTGATCAATTTCCTTTGAATCTTATCAGGAAAGATATTACTCCATCTGCTGACTTGACTTCTCTGAAGAACATTGGTAGTTGTGTCTCTTGAAGGATTGGTAATTTCAATCCAAAATTGACCGGTAGAGGTATCCATTTCTGGTTCCACCAAAATAGATGATTTCTTTCTAGGCAATTTTGCCCTTTCATTAGGTATTGATGGTCGAATGGGTTTCGGTTCTTCTTTCTTTGTAAACAACGTTTCTCCTTTGATTATTCGAGGAGAACCAGCAGACTTTCTAAAAGTTTCAATATTTCGAATAGTTGAAGGTGCAGTCTCACTCATTATTGAAGGTGCCGGAGATTTGATGTCGTCACTGTTCTTGTTTATATGGTACAAAGAAGACAATGCAGATTTATCATTCACTGGATGAACAACTGTCCCTGAAGCGATGGAAATAGTCGAACCATTACTTGGTTGTAATATGGGCTTGTTGCTCAACATCAAAGAAAGCGTAGCATTGGCATCTTTAATAACAGGAGCTTGAAACTTGGGTCTATCATGTTTGATTTTCGGCTCCCCAATTTTGAAATCCCGAAGGGGCTGTTTGTGGAGTTGTTGTTTGTCATGGTCATAATAATGCTCTTGTGGTTGAATGTGTTTGACAGGTTTAAACACATTGGCATCGTAGGAATCCATTACCTCCAATAGTGACTTGTCATGAATATTTGGATGAAATCGAGGAATTTTGGCATCGCTGGCTTCGTTTTCCATTACTCCCATCATTTGTAATTCATAAATCTTACATCTAGGAATCCATTGAAAACCTTGTTCCAATTTATCTTGATAAAAAGATATATCACACCAAATAGGTACACAATGGCAAACTTTACCATCTTTGAAGTATCTGAATAACGGAGTAACATGCAACGGTGGCTGACTAAGGCAAATGATATCTAAACTAGTATCAATACTGGATATTTTTTTACTTGTCTCTAATAACAAATCATAATCAACATCAAACAACCCTGCTCCTGGAGTAATTATCATAATATGATTCAACGAATGTTTAAGATCCGTGTTTCTAAATCTATCATTAATAGATGTCAACCCTAAATTAACGGCTTCTAGTAGGTTACCTTTAATGGCAGGTAATGTACCATTTTCAATGATAAATTTCCCATCATCATCTAAATTCAACATGGTATCTCGTTTGAAATTGGCAAATTCAAGTCTTAAATCCGCCATGATTTTATCCCAATGCATGTTATTAACTTGATCAACCACCACTCTGAAAAAGTCTCTTCGTTGCGGGGGTCTTTCGCCTGGTTGTAAATTAGTCCATGGAATATCTGTAAGATCAATACTGGTAAACAAAACAATGGTAATTGAATGATGTGTGTTTCGTTCTCTCCAACGACGAAAAATCTCTGGAAATAAATTATTTACCAACTTATGAAACATTATTTCTCCATCTTCCTCAAAATGCCACATTTCTCTCGACAATTGAATAAATATAGTAAGTTTTGCACTTTCTGAACGATATATTATTTTGGTATCTTTACCAATATATCCCGAAAACACACTTTTACCATTTTTATACATATGTTTAACGGTACCAACTCTGCTACCTAAATACACCAATCTTTGATCAGTATATGTACAGGTATCAACCAAAGAAGATGAAAAATTCCACATCCCATCTCTCGATAAATTTACATCCTTGATGAAAATCTCCACTAAATCAAGAGTAACGGTTTCCAATTTTGAAATTTTCCTCAATACCATTTGAGCCCTAGGCGGTAGGTCTAATAATTTTTGCAATGGAGCTGACATCAATGAAATTTGGAATTTTGATTTTGTTCCTTCAATGGTATCTGTATCATCCTGGTCTTTCCGTATGTTATTAACACTGCAAATAAAAATTAACTTTTTATTTTTACCTTCTTCGAGTGACAGAAGTTCAAAAACTTGACCAACTTGAAATCCACCAGGGATAGAATTGGCCGTTACTAATACATCTTCACTTGAATCGCGTAATTCATGGAACCAAACAGTAACAACTATGGGTATTTTCATATCATCATCATTTTGAGGATTACTCTTTATTCTACTAAGGCCAAATTGTGACTCACTGGGTTTATCCAAAAAGTGGTTATTTTTTCGACTTACTATAAGGGTACTTCCGACATTTCTATTTAACGTTGAACGCAGTGCTTGGTTAGATATTGTTCGTGATCTTCCAATAGTTAAACTGGCATGGTTCGCTGACATTTGTTTTTGATTTGAGAACATTCTTAAATTAGTGTTTGATCCATTGGTTGGTGGAGGTGCCTTACTGGAACCCGAATTAAACATCCTTGAATGTTGCATAATGTTTAATTTGTAGGGTGAGTAATTTTGACTTTAATCTTCTTCAAAGGTAACCACCAAGAACTACAAGCCAAAACGATTCAAAACCTTTAGTTTTTTTTTTTTTTTTTTTTGCTTGGTTCTCACTTTCATCGGTTTTACTACGCGGAAACGATAAGTTTATTTATTACGTATTACTACAAGGGTTGATTGGTACAATAACACTTATACAGCATTTACTTTCTTGAGTACAAATTCGTCAAGAAACCATTTATGAAATCTATAATCATCTGCTAATTCTGGATGGAAAGATGTTCCTAAAATATGTCCTTGTTTTACCGCAACAATCAATTCATTATCTTTACCATCGTAGTTTTTCAACGAATATAATATTTCCACCGGAGCTTTATTTTGATAAGTATTCTCTGATTTCAACACACCTTGCTCTTTCGCATAATCCTTTTGATCTAATATCTTGGTAACAACTGGGGCTCTGATGAAAACGGTTGGAAAATCATGACAATCAGGAACGAATTTGCTGAAATCAAGGGGTTGTTGAAATGAATCAATTTGTCTACCAAATGCATTTCTACTAACTTCTATATCTAAAGCACCTAATGTTTTCTGCTCATCAATACCATTGATTAAGTGCTTTGATAAGAAGATTAATCCAGCACAAGTTCCCCAAATGGATTTTGATTCATCTGCAACAAATTTGTACAATTCTGGTAATAATTGGGTTCTTTCTGCAATATAAGACATTGAACTACTTTCGCCACCAGGAATGACCAATGAATCACACAGTTCTAGATCTTGTTTAGTTTTTACTTCTATAATCTTAAAATCATAAGCGGAATACTCTGTTGGGTTTGAATCTATGAGATGTTTGAAATATGCTATATGTTCTCTGAATGCACCTTGTAAGGCTAAAACCCCTAATATAACTGGTTTAGTAGTAGTCATTTGATAGTGTTCTTATACCCGAATGGTGATACAGAGAAAAGAATAAAATCAAGATTGGATATTTTTTTTTATATAATCAAACAGATAAATCTCTGAAGATCATACACGAAAAGAAGAATTGACTCGGATTTATTTTGTGCAGTTTATCAGTCTAGAAAATCCAAAGCGGAGAAATAAAGTTTTTGCATTTGAGACAAAGAAAATGCACATACCCACAACCCGTGGAAATTTTTTTTTTATTTTTCTCTTTTCTTTTCAATGAAATCCACCACAAGGCAATTTAATTAGTCATAGATATCAGTTGGGTAGAATGTCACCAATCCATAACCTTCCGACAGCTATATATCAATTCTGTTAGAAGGGTAGCATATAAACATGTCAAAATATGAAATACGCTAAGGAGAACAATCTAAATCACAAAAAAAGCCACTTGACTATACCTTTCCCTTTATACCCATTTAAGCGCATGCTAATATATATATATATAATGATTCATAGTCAACCTCTGATGATAATTGATGAACGGCATATCACACACTCGTTTTGGAATACTCTCAATCGACAGAGGATTATTATTTCCCGGAAAAAAGACTCGCTGTTGCTTTCAATTATGAAACATTTCTTTTTAGTGTCATGAAATTTTCTCCAGACAACCCTGACAAATGGTGGATACTTGTACCATTGAACATTAACCTCATAATCAACACCTTCCATTGACTCTATTAACTCAATTGAATATATTCATCTGCATCAACTGATTTTTTTTCATCCATCAATTGAGTCATAACCTTGGTTGTAAGAGTAATAATTAAAGAAAAAAAAATTTGCTCAATTTGTAGACAGCATTCGTTTATGTGTTCTGGTTGTAATAATTCTTCTCTCTTTCTCCACTGTTTATCTCTGTCGACTTTAAAATCGGTATCTGCACGCTGTCCTAACCTTATAATGTCGGGTGAAAGTGAGAATTTTCTATTGTTGTAAATTATTACTCATTACACTTTATTCCTATCATCCCGTACAATTAATATAACAAACGAAGTCAAAAACTAATTGAATCGTCTTTCTAAAAGTATGTCTATTACGTAATCAACATTAGCATAGTTACAGGAACAATTTACGTAGGCGTTTTCATAGTATTTTTTTTTTCTACTTTCTTTTCAGATCAATGAATTTGTAACACTTACATACATGAAATCTTGCACTCTCCCCCCCTATTAAAGTAATATTCGGCGGGAGCCAGAAATCTTGATCCACTATAAATTAAATGTCAATTTTCCAATTTCAAGTAAATCAACATCATTATAATTTTTTTCACTTTGTTTTTTTTATTTGTTTTTATTTCTTTATAGTAATTTCAATTGTTAATACTTTAATCAACCTTCCTTCATTTAATTCAATTAAAACATATCATCCCATCATGTCTGATTTCAAAGTTAAAGCCGGTTTAGCACAAATGCTTAAAGGTGGTGTAATTATGGATGTCGTTAATTCAGATCAAGCTAAAATTGCAGAAAGAGCCGGTGCTTGTGCTGTAATGGCATTGGAACGTATTCCTGCCGAAATGAGAAAATCAAACCAAGTTTGTAGAATGTCAGATCCAAAAATGATTAAAGATATTATGAATAATGTTAAAATCCCAGTAATGGCCAAATGTAGAATTGGTCATTTCACTGAAAGTCAAATTTTAGAAGCTTTGGGTGTTGATTATATTGATGAAAGTGAAGTTTTAACTCCAGCTGATACTGTTTATCATATTGATAAAACTAAATTTAAAGTCCCATTTGTTTGTGGTGCCAGAAATTTGGGAGAAGCTTTAAGAAGAATCAATGAAGGTGCTGCTATGATTAGATGTAAAGGTGAAGCCGGTACTGGTGATGTTTCTTCTGCTGTTGACCACATTAGAACTATTAAAAAAGACATCGAAGAAGCATCTAAATTGAAATCTGAAAAAGATATTGTTGAACTTGCGGAAAAATTAAGAGTTCCAGTTGATTTGTTGATCCAAGTCATTGAAACCAAAAAATTACCAGTTGTTTTGTTTTGTGCTGGTGGTGTTTCTACTCCAGCTGATGCTGCTTTATTGATGCAATTGGGTTGTGATGGTGTTTTTGTTGGTTCTGGTATTTTCAAAGCAAAGAACCCCGAAAGATTGGCTAAAGCCATTGTTGACGCTACCACCCATTTCAATGATCCTGCTAAACTTTTAGAATACTCCACTGACTTGGGTGAATTGATGGCTGGAATTTCCATCGATTCCATCAAAGACAATGAAAGATTAGAAAAAAGAGGTTGGTAAATAGGCTTACATGGTTCTTATTCCATTATATAAATGTTTATATATTCTAATTATACATTAAAAAAGTTGAATCTATTCTTAATACTAAAAATGCTTGACATGTATATTATGTTCGTAGTACTTTCTTCCATGAACAAACCATAAAATAGCACCAATGAAACATGTTATACCAAGCACAACACATGCATAATTCATGTTTGTCGATGTGACTGGATATTCCATTGGGAAATTCAACCACACCATTATAAAACAAATCCAAAGAACCGAAGCAATATTCATTGGTAAACCAAACTTACCCAAACAAAAGTAAGGTTTTATATCATAACGATTCCAAGAACATCTAGTCTTGACCAATAAACAAGCAATTGGAATTAAATAGGATAAATTAATACAAACCATCGAGGTTCCCAAAACTGCATTCAATGCACTATCCGAACCCATAATCAAAGTACCAATTATAATACAAAGCACAGTTAACAAAGTCAATGCATTGACAGGACTTTTCAATTTTGAAGAAACTTGTCCTAAATACCCACTGAATGGTAATCCATCTGATTGGGCAAAAGACCAAATCAATCTTGAGGTACTGGTATAATACATATATGAAGAACCAACAAATGTTAAAATCAAGCAAATAACACCAACGGTAGTTAATCCTCTAGATTGAAATGAATCATACATTAATTGAACAATTGGTTCACCGCCGATTGGGTTTGATAAATTATCAATATTAACCACACAGAACATGTATACGACAGCTGCGAAAAATGCCATAACTCCTGATAATGTGTTGGAAATAACCATAACTAATGGGATGTTTCTTTCAGGTTGGGCAATTTCATCAGTCATATGAACAGCACCATCAAATAATGTAACACTAGCAAGACTAGGCAACAATCCCAAAAAAAATACTACCCCATTTGAGGACCACCCAGTTTCATTGATTATGTGTTTGAAAACAAATTCTGTAGATTGTTTAGGAGATTTAACCAACAATGTAATAATGATGAAAAAAGTCCCAAAATTGATCACTCCGACAGATATGTTAGTAATCAAAGGTAACAATCTCACAAAGAAAACATTGATTGAATAACCAGAAAGAAATACTGCCAAATATACAGCATAATAATGAGAAGTCTTTGGAATATAATCCTCATGATATAATTGTGCCAATGATAAAATAAACATAGATGCAACAAAAGTTGAACTGAAACAAGCAAAGATCCAACCAGCACAAGATAATATACCTGTGACGAAACTAAGCACTCTTTTGCAACTATCCGAAGCTAAACAATAAGTCCAATGAACTTGGGCAGAAGAATGTGGATATGCAGAAGCCAATTCAGCTAAACAATAGCAGATTATTAAATCAAATATAATAGCCAAGATAAATCCATATATTAACACAGGACTTCCCCCAACACCGATAACTGTACTCAAAAATGTCCCTATTGCCAAGGATGAACAAATTAATGTATATTGAAATGCACATGTACTCCATAAATTGAAATTTTTCTCTAGTTTAACTGGTTCCTCCTCTGTGATGGATCCAAAAGATATATCATCTCTGACATTGCTAGTAACAATAGCTGGTTTTTCTTTAGATGAAGACATGTTTGTACTATATGGTGGTGTAGATGTATTTGCACTGTATGATGACGTAGACATTGTTGCTTTTAATGATGATGTAGATGAATTAAAAAAAAATTAATCGTTCTGTTTAAAACGAATGTCTAGTGATATTTATACACAATTAGTTATTAATTGTTTATATCTTTCGATGAGGGGCTTGAGGGGGAAGGTTTCTAAAATATTCCGCTTCTATTGTACAAGAAATATTTAACCCTTGATACCGTTTGGCTAGACTTTATTTTTTCACAATCACGTTATCAGATCAATTTTAATATGGGCTGCTATCCATATTAGTACAAGATCCAAGATAATAATAAAATGTTCAACTTTGTTAGCCACATATCTTAATCAATTTATTGGTAATATTATTTGTCTATCATTTTTTTCTTTCTTTTTTTTTTCGCGTTATCAAAGCTTATCATCGAGTTACTATTGGCGACAAGAGGACGGAATTACTGACCACACAAAGTGGATATTTTTTCTTTCTTTTCCATACGATGCCGCTAACTATCAAAAGCGGAATTTTATTCCGTTCACCGATGTATGTTTAGCACATTCACCGGAATCACCTCCACTCGTTTTGAAATTGAATAGTTGATAAATTGCTTTTAGAATCTCCACATTCTTCTATTATTCTTAAATTCCTTGATTACTGGGTTTTAGTATCAGAGATATGCCGATTAGGCTCAACTTGAAACTTGATTATGATTTCGGAATTCTTGTTAACTAGCGGGTGATGATTTCACTGATCTAGGAAATCAGAGGCTCTATCGCTATTATCTATTGCTACTCTCAAAGAACATCAGATGACTATTATCATTAGTTCAAATGATATTCGTGTGGAGGAGTTACATCTTGATATTGGTTCCAAAATCCACAAGTTTGTGGTTTTTACAATTCGTTTAGGTATTCAAATTATGCAACTAAAATATCGCAATAGAGTTCTGACTATTCATTTGCAGTACAACCGTTGATCTTGCGTATAGTTTTCTACTTTTCTGTATGCATTGTAAGACCCTACACTTCTTATTGTTAATTTTTTTTTTTCTCTTTTGCAGTAAAAACGAAAAAAAAAATACAAGTACAAAAAATTTTTCGTTTCATGCATCGCTCTTCTCCACTACTATCAATAACAACAAATGACTAAAGAAACAAAACCACCATTGGATTCTCGAATAGGTAAAGATTCCCCATTTGAATTTGGTCAAAGATATTTAGAAAATGAAGAAGATGTATTTAATCATAATGCATGGGATCATGTTGAATGGGGAGAAGAACAAATTCAACAAGCTAAAGAATTAATTTCAAAACAATATGAACATCCAGTTAAAGAATTTGATAAAAATTTATATAATTCAAATCCAGCTAAATATTGGGATATTTTTTATAAACATAACAAGGAAAATTTTTTTAAAGATCGTAAATGGTTACAAATTGAATTTCCTTCATTATATAATGTTACAAGTAAAGATCATCAAGAACCAACTACAATTTTAGAAATCGGTTGTGGTGCTGGGAATACATTCTTTCCAATTTTAAATCAAAATAAAAATCAAAATTTGAAAATATTTGGTTGTGATTATAGTAAAGTAGCAGTTGATTTAGTTAAAAGTAATGAATCATTTGTTGAAAATCACGAAAAGGGAGTTGCTTATTCTTCAGTTTGGGATTTAGCTAATCCTGAAGGTAAATTACCTGAAGATCTTGAACCAAATTCTGTTGATATTGTAATCATGGTGTTTGTCTTTCTGGCTTTACATCCAGATCAGTGGAAACAAGCCGTTGATAACTTATCTAAAGTTTTGAAACCAGGTGGTGAAATATTATTCAGAGATTATGGTAGATATGATTTGGCTCAAGTAAGGTTTAAAAAAGGTAGATTATTAGATGATAATTTTTACATTAGAGGTGACGGTACTAGAGTTTACTTTTTCACTGAAGAAGAATTGGAACAAATCTTCGTTACTGATGGACCATTTAAGAAAGAAAAGATTGCTACTGATAGAAGATTGTTGGTTAATAGAAAGAGACAATTAAAGATGTATAGAAATTGGTTGCAAGCTGTATTTAAAGGATAATTAATGTAATATATAGAATATTATCTAGATGTTTGAACAATTTCCAGATCTCCTGAAGTGATTCATTTACCAACGGAGTAGCGTCTATTCCTTGGATAAACGGATGTGCCAACTTGGCCAAATTTGCCGCGTGTAAGTCTAATATCTCACCAAGTGTTTGTGATTTTGATATTGGCACTTGGATAACTGTTGGTGAACCAGCAATATAGATCTTGACGGGTATTTTGTCAATTGATTTTATGATCTTTCTATTTATAGAAGCAAAATTAGTTAAATTTCTTGATAGTATAGATTTCCATAAAAGTTTGGAATTGTCTTCGCTCAATTGCATGATTGGTTTTGCAGTTCCATTAATCACAAAACAAGACTGTTTCAATTGGTTGGTTAATACCTGATGCAATGTCTTTAAATAGTCAACTTCTCCATTAGGAAGTAGTTCATTAAACGGGATTACGTGCTCTATAGGATAGTCATCGTCGTATTTCATGGTTAATGTCCAGCTGTCTATATTTTCACGGGCTGGTAAATATAAATAATCGTACAAAACACCGACAGGTAAATTCCATTTTATCGGAACCTGTTCGTATTCTAACCAAACGGGAATGTTCGATAGGTCGATGTTTGTGAAATTCTTGAAATATCTAATTATTTCGGGGAATACAATTGGGAAGTATGAATTTCTATGAATAAATAGGAGATACTCTAAGTTCTTGTTTTCTGTTGGCAATTCGAGAATAATTTTGACATTAATTGACCCATTCCATAGTTTCTTCTTAATCTCCGATAAGTTCTCCAATTGAACTCTGGATTCTCTTTCTACTTGCATGATGAATGAAAAGTGATGATGAGATGTTGATGAGATGATGTGGTCGAATAGTACGAATAACAATACATCAGCCAGCCATCTTACCCTATGCGGAAATTTGATTTCTCTGTCTCTGGTTGTCTAGTTCTTCTTTTTTTTTTTTTTCTCTCTCTCTCTCTCTCTCTCTCTCTCGCTCTACTGTTGCGTGCACTGGCGATAAATGCCTGTTGCCAGATTTATTTGTATAAATCAGTTTTGTGATGTCAATACACAAAGGAAATTTTAAGTTTGCCAGATTGCAGCGAAGTAGAACGTGAAATTTGGGGTTATCATCGTTTTGTTCTACTCCACTAAATCTCAAGTAGATAAGCCAGCAATTGTATCGATGGTCTTGTCATCCCACAACATTACCCGTACCATTTCATATCCGGACCAAAAACTAACGATGAATGACAAGTTCCTGTGTGATATAAATCCCATGGGTCATCCGCTCAACGGAAAAAATAAAAATCCCCGAACCCACAATTTGCTTTTCTTTTTCTTTTGGTCAGTTAAATTTGGTTTCTATTTTTTATTGTCAATTCTCCGTTGTCACCCACAACCTCCATCTTAAGAAAATATAATATTTTACAACAGAAGCTTTTATTTTTCACCATTTCTTCATTGCTGCGGTTTTATTATACATTATAAAAAAAACTGTCAAACTCAAACACTGTCAAATATTATCATTATTACACTATTACATTGTTACTACTTCTTCCTGAATTATCGAACTATCAATGAAGAATTCAAATAATAAGCAACGACTTTCACTGTTGGATTTACCACCACCTATTCCTGCTGCATTGGATACTTTAAACTTGGATTATGTGGCTGACTCTTATCAACCAGGACAATACGAGTTATCAGATTTACCAGATAAGATACCCATTATAAATGAAAGAACTGGTAGTTTTAGAAGATTTATCAAGAGAAAAACCCCAAGAGATAGAAGAAGAATAGTCAGTGCACCACCTGGTACCATTCTAGAAAAAGCACTTCCGAAACCACCTGCAACTTCTAGAAATTCGTTCTATGCAACTCCAGCTTTGCCATTACCAAAAGCATCGTCCACCCCGTCATTACCCAAACCAAGAACTTTACGTCCCAAACCTAGACCATTTTCAATGGCTCCAAGATCCATTTCTTTAATTAACGAAAATATACCCCCAATTCTTACGACACCAGGTCACAACCCCAGGAATAGTATGGTCATCGGAGAAGATTCAGATCTCAAGTTGCAGCCACAACAAAGCAACCTGTCTTCTGACTACAACTCCATAATATCAGACTATATAATGCCTATGGATTATTACAGCCCAAAAGATCAACAAGATGCCAATTTAGATTCAAACAGTTTTGTGGATAGTTTGTTTTCTGAAGATAAACCTGCTAATAATAATAGACAATCAATTTCGTCAAGTGAAGAAATGGGTAATCCAATAATTGAAAACCCACTTAATTTACCTAAAACAAGAGACAAGCAGAAAGTTAGATTTACAGATAAACCAAGTTCATATAAAATTAAACCAGATTCATTAAGGTACTATCTTGATTTACCTCAAGATTATAATGAAAGTCGATTCCCACTGGTTCCTAAGAATTCTCACTTTGATGAGCTTGAGTCACGATACCAAAATAAGGTTGAAGAGAAACATCGTTCATTTTCAGATTTCACGCATTTTAAGGTTCATATGATAGATAATCCTTCAACCACAGCCGACAAACAAGAAAAGCGTAGATCATTTTCCGATTTTACTAATTTCAAAGTGAGATCTGTTTCTGTTCCTACCCTGCAACCAAGTCTGAATCGATCTACTACACCTACTACAAAAACAAATATCAAGTCATTCTTCAACAGGTTCAAATCAAAGGATGTTTCAAAGGAAAAATCATTACCACCATTGCCTTGTGAAAAAAGTCAACCTAGACAGAAAAAGTATTATTTTGAATAACGTTAATGTAACATTATAAATAGAATATGCATGTATTACTATATTATTAATAGAAGTTTATTTACGCTTTACTCAAGTAGTGTTCATCACCACTTAATTCTTGTAATCTGGCTGCAGCCTGTTCACTAGTTAAATCTCTTTGAGGTTCACCCAACATTTCAAAACCAACACAGAATTTTTTAACAGTAGCAGATCTTAACAATGGTGGATAGAAATGGATATGGAACCAAGACATTGATTCATCTTGTTCATGATCACATTTAAATGGAGCTTGATGAATACCCATAGAATATGGAAATGAAGTATTAAACAAATTATCATATTTTGTTGTCAAAACTTTCAAAATATCTGCCAAATCTTCCTTTTGTTTATCATTGAACTCTTTGATTGATTTCAAATGAGTCTTAGAAACTAATAATGTTTCAAATGGCCACAATGCCCAATATGGAACAACGACAATGAAATTATCATTCTGAGCAACAATTCTTTGTTTTTCTTGAATTTCTAATTCAACGTAATCTTGCAAAAGATGAGTATTGTATTTTTCAAAATATTCTCTCATGTTTGTCAATTCATCACGTACTTCAGTTGGAATTACATCTAAACACCATGCTTGACCATGTGGATGTGGGTTGGAACAACCCATTGCAGATCCTTTATTTTCAAAAATTTGTAAATACTTGTATGGTGAGATGTTGTCAATAGCTTCTTGGTATAAGTCATTGTATAATTTTTGCCATGAATTAACCACACCAAGAACCTCTGATTTTGACATTAATGGTAAAGTCAAGTTATGCTTAGGAGAAAAACAAATGACAAAACATTTACCTCTAACACCTTGAGTTTTTAATAACCTTCCTTTTAAATTATCTTTATCTGATTCCTTTCCCACATACTCCGGTTGATCTAATCTAACAGCTGGATAATCATTAGTGAATATAAATGTTGATTCATATTTAGGATTCATATCACCAGTAGCTCTAATATTCCCAGGACACAAGTAGCATTTAGGGTCATATTCAGGTAAAGCAGACTTTTTGATTTCTTCTCTAGCACCTTGCCAAGGTCTTTTAGCTCTATGAGGTGAACATAAAACAAATTTATTAGTCAATGGATTCAAGCGACGGTGAGAATGATTGGTGAAATCGAATTCTTGGGTCATTTTAATATAAGTAGGAGTTGAAGTTAGTGGATTTAGAAGATGTTCTAGTGACATGATTTGAAATTAAAAATGTGGATATCAAGGATTCTAGGGGGTGGTTTATATAGTTGGGAAGGGAAAATCTCTATGGTACAATAAACAAAAACGAAAAAAAAAAAGAAAGTAGGGAAAATGCAAATGAAGAATTGACAAACGTGGAATATAGTCTATATCCCAAATAATGTCATATAATACAAAAACAGATATGGACTTTATTATCCGGAAGTATTCTGGTGAAGTAGATTTTCAGATTCTGATATAATTTTTTTTTTTTTTGTATCAAATGATACTTTTCTTTTTTTTTTGTTGTTGGTGTCGCTCACTGTGTGAAGAATGGACGGCGTGTTGAAGAATGCAGACACTTTTTTTTGTGTTATTTTGAGGCTTGTTAACTATGGCAAATGAAAAGTACAACGTTACATTTTTTTCTGATGATGCGATCTGAACCCCCACGCAAAAACCAGAGCAAATATACACAAAATAGACAATGACCTGGAATAATAAAATTGAAGTTCTTCCCGTTTTCCCCTGCCATGAAGGTTTTCATGTTTTTTTTTTTTTTTTTAATTTTAATTTTAATTTTAACAAATATTCTATTTGTCTACTTTAACAAAGCAGTTACTACTATTTACAATGACTGTTACATATACAAAAAAAGTATTGGTTACTGGTGGTGCTGGATTTATTGGTTGTAATTTCTTGAGTTATATAGTCCCAAAGTACCCCCAGGTACATTTTACTTGTATTGATAAACTTAATTATGCTAGCAATAGTCACATAATCAAACAACTTGAATTATTGCCAAATTTTTGCTTCATTCAGTTGGATTTATCTGAAAGTTTAGAAAAGTTGTTAGATATCACAAGAGATACTACTGATATTATCAATTTTGCTGCAGAATCATGTGTAGATAGGTCATTTCTGGAACCGTTATATTTCACTAAAAACAATATTTTTGCTACTCAAAATTTATTAGAATGTCATAGACTTAATCGAAACATAAATTATATCCTACACATTTCAACAGATGAAGTATATGGAGAGCTGGTAAGTAATGTTGTGGAAGACGACCATTTGATGAACCCTACTAATCCATACTCTGCTAGTAAAGCAGCTATTGATTTAATAATACAGTCGTATCAATATTCATACAAGTTGCCGATAACAATACTTCGACCAAACAATGTTTACGGTCCATTACAATATCCTGAAAAAATCATCCCATTAACTATAAAGTGTCTACATGAAAAAACACCAATCCCAATTCATGGTAACGGTACCAACAAAAGACGATATTTGTACGTTCTTGATTTAGTGTTGGCTATTGAAATCATATGGAAAAGCCAACAAATTACTACAAATCAAATCTATAATGTTGGCGGGACAGATGAGTTGGATAACAATTCATTGGTCAACTTGATAATGAATGTATTTCAAACCCCAGGAGAAATACAATATGTTAAGGATAGAAAGTACAACGATTCAAGTTATTCAATAGATACAACAAAACTAGCTGCATTAGGTTGGGAACCAAAAATTTCTATAACACAAGGATTAGAATTATGCAAACAATTCTCTAACCTTCCCATCGAACAATGAACTTTTAATAGGCATATCCAATGAATAAAACGGATCTTTCATAACATAATCTGAATAGACAATATACAATTGACGGAACAATTCCTCTATGTTGTCATAACTACCTGAATTCGGCGCCGTTATGATTATGAATTTTAACCCACTAACTGATTGGAATATACAAAGATTAAATAAATCAGTTTCTATTCTTTGTAAACCAGATCTATTACTATTCGGACTAACAGCTTTACCTGTATTTAAAACAATGGAATTCTGAGACGAGTTATATTCTTCTGTATTTGATTTTGAACTTCCAGTATGTATACTTGAAGTTAATCTTGATCCAATAGCATGAACACCGTGTAAAGTACCTGCTAACACTAAGTAATCATTAGCTGTTAGTTTGCTTAATCCTGGAGATAATTCATTTTGATAAATAAGACCACCTGCTTTGTTAAGTATTAAAAGAGAGTATGCTTTCATTAATGTGTCGGTATGTATTAGTTGTTATCCACTGCTTTTGAGAGTGTGGGTGATTTTTTTTTTTCTTATTTCTTCCATCAATTTCAACTGGGTTTTTTTTGTAATTATTATTTTTTCGCTCATAAAATTTGAGTTGATCTGTCTTAACAATACAATCTCTACAATGGTTGTTACCAATAATGATTAATTTTGCAACACAGAAATTATCAAATCATCAATAGTCTGGTTGATTTATTTATTTGTTACTAAATCCATACACAATCTTACTACCATAGACTTCACCTTTCTTCAAAATGACTTGATTCTTCCATTCTTCCTTGTTAATAGCATCAATAAATCTACTTGGTTCAACACAGAAACCACATCTTTTAACAAAACCCTTGGTATTAACACCATCACCAGTATAGAATTGGAATGCTGGTTCAGTGGTTTGCACAGTGAATTTGTTGTTGGTTTTTGGATGAGTAGCTTCAAGTACAAGTTTCAATGGCTGGTTTCTGGTATCAATTCCACAGTTGTCATCCACAACGAAACAGTTATCAAAGGCAAGATCTTTGGTTAAAACAATTGTATTGGTTGCATTTTTGTTGGCAACAAATTTACCAGTTGGTATTAATTCATCGTCAACTTCCATCATTTTGTCGGTGATTAATTTGACTTCGGTTCCTTCGATATCTTCGGCATTTGAAACAGTGAAATAACTGTGGTTGGTCATATTGACAATAGTTGCTTCTGCACCAGATAACAATTTACATTCATATTCAATTGCAATGTCGGAATTATCAATGGTATAGTGGACAATAGCTTCAACTTCACCTGGGAAACCGTCATTGCCATCTTTATCGACAATTAAGAAATCAACCAAGAATTTGCCATCTTTTTGTTTAACAACAGGACCAAGGAAATTTTGTTTATCAACTCCATTAAAACCAGCATGTAAGTTGTTGGAACCTTCATTAGTAGACAATTGGTATTTCTTACCATTCAATTCAAATTGACCCTTGGCAATTCTATTGGCAAATCTTCCCACAGTTGTCCCAAAGAATGGATTGGACTTGTCCTTGAAATCCTCAGCATTGTCGTATGCTTTAACCATACTGCAACCATCTAATTCAACAGCTTGGATCAAGGCACCACGGTTAGCTAAACTTACTTTCAATGGACCAGAAACAAATGTATGCAAACGGTTGTTGTATCCATCAAATTGTGACCAAGTGTAATTTTCAATTTTGAAACCATATGGGTTTTCTGTGGTCCATTTCCATAAATCCTTACAAGCATCATCAATATTAAGTTCAGCTTTCCATTCCAATTCCTTGTTGGCACGATCTGGTTTAGCAGTTAAATCCAAAACATCACCTGCACGTCTGCCAACGATTTCATAAGGCAATTCTCTGCCAACAGCTTTACAAAAAGCATGATAAACATCGAAAACGGTTGACCCTTTACCAGTTCCTAAATTCCATTCACGGTATAATCCTTCACTGCTGTTGACTTTGTTTTTCAAATAATTTAATGCAGCAATGTGTCCCTTTGCCAAATCAACGACATGGATATAATCTCTAATTGGGGTACCATCATGGGAGTTGTAGTCATCTCCAAAGACAGACAATTTTTCACGTCTACCACTTGCAACTTGGGCTAAATATGGCAACAAATTGTTTGGAATACCTAAAGGATCTTCACCAAGTAAACCAGATGGATGGGCACCCATTGGATTGAAATATCTCAAGATTGCAACTTTCCATAAGTTGTCACTAGAGTACATGTCTTTCAAGATTGATTCAATTATGAATTTGGTTCTACCGTATGGGTTGGTTGGATCCATTGGACAATGTTCTGGGATTGGAATCATTGAGTTGTCACCAAATCTAGTGACATCACCATAAACAGTAGCAGATGAACTGAAAACAATAGTTTTGACATTGTTTGATTTACAAACTTCCAACAAGTTGATGGTTCCTGAAACATTATTATCATAATAATCCAATGGAATTTCAGTTGATTCACCAACAGCCTTCAAGGCAGCAAAATGAATAACTCCAGAAAATTTATATTCTTGGAACACTTTATTCAATTCAGCTGTGTTTCTAATGTCGACATTATAAAAAGGGACATGTTGTTTGACAATATATTCAATTCTGGCAACTGCATCATAGGAAGAATTACTTAAATTATCAACAATAACTACTTTGAATCCGTGGTTGATTAATTCAATAACAGTGTGAGAACCAATATAACCGGCCCCGCCAGTAACAAGAATGTATTCGTCGTTTGACATCATGATGGTATAAATGATTAAATGTGTTTTTGATAAAGAACAAATAGTTAAAAACTTGTGAAATGATTTTCCATCTGTGAAATTTTTGTATTTATAGTCATTACCAGGCGGTAATAATGCTTGAATTTTTTATTTTTTTAAAAAAAATATAAATAAAAGAATATTATTGAACCTCCTCAATTAAAACTGACAAGGGGATCTAGTCAGGGAAGTTCCCTCTTCAAAAATGTAACGTTGTATCGAGTAGGGAAGGTCAGAAGGTACAAAAAAAAAAAAAGAAACGAAGACCTAATTCACCCCCACCACGAATTTCCTATTGTTTATATCGACGGAAATCTGTTGAACGTGTTTGATCATCCGGTTGGTTCTTTTTGCAATTCTACTTTGAATGCCGACATTGAAATGTTTTAGGATAATGAAAGCGGAGGAAGCAACTAACAGTCCTCCCGAGACTCTAATAATAACTAGTTGTTATTTTAAGAAAATTGAGTGATTTTTTTTTTCCAAATTTTGAATTGTTTCTTGTTGAAGATGTTTGTGTTATAAGCAAAATAAAGACTGGAATTGAGCTGCCTTCATGCAAACTTGCGGCAATAGAACTACAGAAAAAAAATGTCTGAATTTAAGTTTTTTAAACCTGGCGAGAAGGCTATCGGAAAAATTCCTTAATTTCCAGCCACAAAAGAAAAAGATAAAATTTGTATTTCTGTGGGGACGGTTGAATTTGGAAAACAATAACATTTTGAGTATTTTTGGTGATGAACTCACCCGACACTGAATTTCGCTTAAGTATGGAGAATCTTGATGTAACGTTACATTGTGGATGGTAACTTGTATGGCAAGGGTATCATTGTTTATTTTTGTCTGGGGGAAAAATGGGCAGACTTTACAAAAACAAATATAATTATTGAAGGCAATTTTGTATTGAAGATGGATAAATTATTCTACTATTGTTTGGTTTTGCTTCCGATAAATGGAGTAATTTGGGGAGTTAAGAATTAAGAATAGGAGATTTGATTATGAAAGAAAACAGAATCTGAAGTCATCCCCTCCCATGTTGTTCATATATAAAAAATAATGAATAGCTCTAGGTGATTTTTCTTTTTTTTTTGTTTGTTTGTTTGTTTTTTACAAAGATCTGATTTTGTTCATAGTAATAAACACTATGTCTGTACCAGTATTTAAAAATTTATCATTTTATTCTGATCCTCATTCTAATGAACCAAGGTACCAAGAAGTAGTCAAGACTTTTTCTGTTAACTTCCCTAATGATTCCATTCATTTTTTTGCTAGATCTCCAGGAAGAGTCAACTTAATTGGTGATCATATTGATTATAATTTTTTCCCAGTTTTACCAATGGCTATTTCAAATGATGTTATTGCTGCGGTAAGTGTTGATAGTGATAGCAAAGAAATCATCATAACCAACACAGATAGCAAAGATTTCCCAAGAGAAGTTATTCCACTTGACAAGAAAGTATCCATTGATCAAGAACATCATTCATGGGCAAATTATTTCAAATGTGGCTTGATTGTTGCTGAAAAGTATTTGAACGAAAATGGGATCAACAATCTCAAAGGTATGAAACTTACATTTAATGGTAATGTACCAACAGGAGGGGGGTTGTCATCGTCAGCTGCATTTTGTGTGGCCTCAACTTTAGCAGTTATTAAAGCAAATGGTATTGATAATATTCCTAAAGAAGACCTCACCAGAATCACTGTTGTGAGTGAACATTATGTTGGTGTTAACACAGGAGGTATGGATCAATGTGCCAGTATCTATGGTGAACTGGACCATGCATTATTGATAGAGTTCAAACCTAAATTAACTGCTAAACCATTTAAATTTCCTATTGATGATTTGATATTTGTTATTACCAATAGTTTGCAAGTAAGTAACAAACACGAAACAGCACCTATTCATTATAACCTTCGTGTCGTGGAAATGGGTATTGCTGCAGATTTACTAACCAAGAAATTGGGTTTGCAAAATAGTATTCCTAGAGACTCAAACATTGGTACAAGCAGTTTACGTGGTGTTATGGATGGTAGATTTAATCATTCATGGGATGGCAATGATTACACTGTTGGTATTGAGCAATTAAAGCAGATGATTGATGTGGTAGAAAAAGAATTAACCAATCAAAAGGGATATTCAATTGAAGAATGTTGTCAAGAATTGGAAATAACATGTGAGAAGTTTGTTGCTAAGTATCTTTCCAAGTTCCACGTTGAATTCAAGACTTTGAAGCTTTACCAAAGAGCCAAACATGTATATAAAGAAAGTTTAAGAGTATTGGAAACATTAAAAGCTATAGCAACTATTCATAATCGTGAAGAATTTTTAATGGAATTTGGAAAATTAATGAATGAATCACAGGGCTGATTTAGATGTATTAAATGAATCCTCTAATGATAAATTAAACAAAATTTGTGAAATTGCATTGAATAATGGGGCATTTGGTTCAAGAGTTACTGGAGCTGGATGGGGAGGTTCAATTGTTCATTTGACCACCGTGGACAAAGTAGAGGGGTTGATTGAAGGATTGACTCGTGATTATTACAATGTGGAATTCCCCGACCTTGAACCTGGTTTAGATGGTGCCATAATTAATAGTAAACCTTCAATAGGAAGTTGTATAATTATAGGTAGTGAATTTTTGCAGTAATTGCACGATTTTATTTTATTTTTTTCTTTATCGAAATTCGCATGTGATATTTCGTAGTATTGCTGCAAAAAAAAAAAAAATAGAAAAGTAATACCGGAGTTGTTCCAGGATCAAATATCACATGCAAATTCCAGATTATTCTTACTTGCTACATATAGGTGATTCATTTCCTAAATAGATGTAAACTCAAACAAGCAACGGTTTCTAAAATAAAAATTAGTACATTGTTGATGAGATAAAGAAATTTTATGTTCTAGATTTAGTGCCAAAAAAGAATGAAATTGACTACAAGGAAGAAACAAACAAAACTAGCCCCTTGCATGTCATTGGAGAGAAAGATCACAGGCAAATTGAAACAACTAGTGAATAAATCAAACAAACCCCTTTACTTATACTATTAGAAAGTTAATCGAAGTGACCAAATAGGATTAGATTGCTCTTGGATGAAATTACATTCATTAAGCAAAAAAATTAAGAGATCTCTAAATTTATACATATCATAAAGTGTATTCTAAGTGCCTAAATATAGATTTTATTAAGTAATCATGTAGTTGAGTAATGATAATAAACGTGTAACTCTGTGGATATAAGGAGGGGCGGACTTTTCATGTAATATGTCTAGATAGGTGACAATTAACGAAACATCAATCGATTATAATAATTCAAACTTTCAGATGCAAAATAAGTACTATGGGGTATTAGAAGAAAGCAAAAACTATAGTGAAAATAAGGTACGAGACTTTAAATAAAAAACAATTATGTAAGCTATTTTCTTTCTTAATCGAACAATTTTGATCTTTATGTTTTATTTTTTCTTTGTCTATGGATGTCAGTGACGGGGTTAATATGCGCGATTGATTAAAGTTTGTTACTTTGTTGTAGATCGATTCCCTAAGTCGGAATTACCAAAAACAATACCTGACTGGCACGTGAGCAAGTGACAATTGGAAATAAGAATATAGGAATAGAATTTACTACAAACCAAATTTAAAGGCAAAAATTGGCTATGATATGTGACAGTTGACTAAAATCTGTGCAGTGTTGCGATTACATTTTTTTTGTTTGTCACCTCCGAATATCTCCTACTAACACTTCACTTAGACAGCAGGAAAAAAAAAAATCAGCCAATACTTGATTTCTAACAAACGACAAAGTTATCGTGCCCAACTTATCGTACATTTATGCCCCCCTTTTTGACCCCTATTGATTAGATCAAATGCAACAAATGTGTAAGAGATACGGCTCAGAATTATTTTTGGTTATCTATATCGTATATAAATTGTTGAATTGCAAAATGAAAATATTTTTGGGGTTGTCGAATGGAAGGAAGGGAGGTCAAAGTCCGAGAAAAAAAAAAAGAAATCAAAATGCAACCTTTAACTTTCCTATTTTCCCCGTATGTAAAAAACCGGAATCACAAGAAAAAAGTATCGTTGCTCTTGAGTATCTGATGATGATTGCGAAAAGAGAAATGGATATATCGAACATGAAGACAGTTGTAGTGATTACCTGGTGAAGATATTCAAGCCATAGTTCAGAGGTTGGGTTTATTGTAGATCATTTAACTAATAATTATTGTTTGCAAGTTTTAACAAAGCATGCAGAATGTTACATTTCTCTAGATAATCGAAAATCGATTAAGTCTCTTGGGTTAAAGCTAGCTGCTGTCAAAAAAGTAAAGAATTCTAATGATAACTTTAGCATGTGAAAAAAAGAACAAGACAAGAACTGTGGTTATCTATGAGTTTTTTTTAGTAGAATCTACCTGACTAGAATAGGTAGCAGTTAGCGATGAGATGGAGATTCGCATTTTGCAGTTTATCCCGTTGTCCTATTTCATCTAAAAGGATCTCAAAATGAGCAGGAAAGAGAAGAAGAAGAAAAAAAATTTCACATGAAATTCTAGATGAGAAGAGATAACACGTCTACGTGTTAGTAACTAAACCATAATGATAGAGAGATATTGTAATAGATGAGACGAGTAAAACATGGGGAAAAGAGGTGGTGATTGTAAAATTGATGATCATTCATTTATATACCCTTTTATTTGTTTGATTCTGATTATATTGTAATGTAATTATGGTCCTATAATAATTTATAAGGTGATTTCCCACTTATTTTTCTTTCTTGTGATTTCGGTATTTAGGAATGGTGTGATTTCCGTCAGGCAAGTCGTTTACCCAAGAAAAAAAAAAAAAGAAAAAGAAGAATCACTGAGCCGCAACCCGTAGTGGATAAATTTCATAGTGACCTAATTGCTTTTCCATAGATTCCCCCGTGCGAAGTCGGGTTAAGGAAACTAGTCGTCGTACCACTCACCGTACCCGTCGCGCGGTAGAACACAACTGAACCCCAAAAATCAAATCCAACAGAAAAATAAAACAACAGATCAGAATTAAGCTTTACGCACCAAGTTGTATGTACCACGCCTCTGTTACAGAGTATCTTTTTCTCCCCCTCCTTTCCTCCCCACTGCGGGAAGTCAAATGAGCTAACCGTCAGATTGGTTAATTCAGTTGCTCTCCTACTGTTGGTTGAACCTCTATGTCTCTCACCTTTTTTTTTCCGTATTATTCGCGAGACATTAGCAGATGAAATGGTTTCTTTTTTTAGATAATTTATTGTATTATACTATTGACTTTAGCTTAAGTCCGCCAAATTCTATGTGGGTTTGATGATGATATATTTAGGATACATATGATTCATATTTTTATGATTCTTTCCTTATTTTACGGATTTTGACAAATCTCATGCGACTACTTAGAAAGGGCTGACTACATTACGTGAGTGTGTCATAATTGCTTTCAATCTTATTTAAAGATAGATTTATTATTATAATTATTATAATATGACTTCAGAACTTCGTCATATTGATGTATGTTTCTGTTGGTTTCGTTTCATATGAATTTTAGTTTCACTCGCTTTCCTTCCCGTATACAGCTTTTAAAAAACAGCCAGTTGACTCATAGTTACACAAAACAGTATGAGTAGAGAACAGAAAAAAAAAGAAATACGTTGAGTATGCAAAATATGTTACACAAAAGTTCATAAATCCCATCCCTATTGTATCCGAAACGAACAGTGAAAGAAGAAGAAAAAAAAAAAAGAAAAATCTCACACCACACATGCGGATAATTCTGGCTGTATAGATTTTATTTTTACAACCAATATAAAATTATCACCAAATCCTTGGTTGTCAAAAAAAAAACCAAAATGAATTACTGTTTTATTACGAATCTTATCTTTTCATTAATTACTTTCTTAATCTTTTACGACTACTACTAGCTACTATTTCAACTACTTTAGATGACTCTAGATATTTTACCAATGTTCGATAACTACTATCAACAACCTTATCAACTTCCACATACTCCACCACAAGATCACCACGATATGTTTCATCCTGCTCAAAACCAAATCCAAATGAAGCCCTTATGGTTATATGTTAACCTCTGACTACAGATTGGCTAGATATATCGGGGCTGGTTC